GCAGGGGTGCCAAAGGTTCTTGTCTCTAAAAGGAGCAGGGATAGTCTTGAGGATTGGGCTTAGGAAATCCTTAGGGAAACTGCCCTTTAAGAGCAGGTTTGGTTTACTTCCCTTATTTCTTCCAAACTCAGTAGCTCTAAATCCTTTTAACATTTTTTAATTAGGTGGTCTCATTTTCTAATTTTCTGTTTTTTGATTCTGTGAAGTTTTCCTTGTGTTTAAGAGTTTCCAGTGTAAATCATCACGCTACATTCGTAAGGTCCTAATCAATGACAATCTGGTGGAGTATTGCCTAAGTCCCCTGCATGCCGGGTGGTTTACATCGGTGCATGGATTCAGTGCCCTGTGTTTCAGACGCACTGTGTGCTTTGTAAAGATCCAGTTTACCCAGCGCGATCACTGGAGTTGTTCCAGCCATGCCTGCCGTAATCTTTTCCCATGCCTCTGAATTTTACTTTTCATAGAGTATCTTTTTTAAATTTCTTAATTCTTTTTCATCAATTCCTTTCCCAATTTGTCATTTTGTTGTTGTTGTTTTGGGATGGGTTTTTTTTTTTTTAAGTCCTAACTATGCATTGCTGTACATTGTTTATACCCTAGTTTCCCACGAAGTTGAAGTTGAAGTAAGACCATTAAAGAAAATGCTCAGACACATGGGTCTTTGACCTGCTGAAGCAAAACATTCTACAGTTGACCTTGAATAACACAGGCTTGAATTGCGTGGGTCCATTTATATGTAGATTTTTTTTCATCATGATAAGTTTACTCTTTAATCCTTATTCCCAATTTTACTCTTCCCTCCTCCCCTCCTCTCATCTGGGTACCATCAGTTGTTTATCTATAATTAAGAGACTGTTGGGGTGCCTGGTTGATTCAGTTGGTTAAGCATTGGACTCTTGATCTCAGCTCAGGTCTTGATCTCAGGGTTGTGAGTTCAAGCCCAGAGTTGGACTCCACACTGGGTGTGGAGCCTCCTTTAAAAAAAAAAAAAAAAAAAAAAAGTCTGCTTCTTGGTTTGTCTCTTTTTTTCCCCCTTTGCTTCTTTGTTTTTGTTTTGGTTTTTAAGATTTTATTTATTTATTTATTTATTTATTTGACAGACAGAGATGACAAGTAGGCAGAGGCAGGCAGAGAGAGAGAGAGAGGAGGAAGCAGGCTTCCCGCTAAGCAGAGAGCCCAATGTGGGGCTCGATCCCAGGACCCTGAGATCATGACCTGAGCCAAAGGCAGAGGCTTTAAACCACTGAGCCACCCAGGCGCCCCTGTTTTGTTTTTAAATTTCACATGAGTGAGATCTTATGGTATTTGCCTTTCTTTTACTGCCTTATCTTGAGTAGCATTATATTCTCTAGCTCTGTCCATGTTGTTGCAAATGGCAAGATTTGATTCTTTATGACTGAGTAATATTTCATTTTATGTATATACCATTTCTTCTTTATCAGTTCAATTATTGATAGACTTTGGGCTGCTTACATAGTTTGTCTGGTGTAAGTAATGCTGCAGTAAACCTAGTGGTGCGTGTATCCCTTTGAATTAGTGTTTTTGTATTCTATGGATCAATATCCAGCACTGTGATTACTGGATTGTAGGGTAGGTCTATTGTTAATTTTTTGAGGAACCTCCATACTGTTTTCCACAGTGGCTGCAGCAGGTTGCATTCCCACCAACAGTGCAAGAGGCTTCCTTCTTCTCCACATCCTCGCCAACACTTGTGATTTGTGTTTTTTTGTTTAGCCATTCTGACAGGTGTGAAGTGATTATCTCATTGTAGTTTTGATTTACATTTTCCTGATGATGAGTGACGCTGAACATCTTCAGTGTGTCTTTGGCTATCTGTATGTCTGTGGAGAAATGTCTGTTCATGTCTTCTGCCCATTTTTAATTGGATTGTTTTTTGGGTGTTAAGGTGTAGCAGTTCTTTATACATTGTGGATTCTAATCCTTTTTGGACTTGTCACTTGCAAATATCTTTTCCCATTCAGTAGGTTGCATTTTAGGTTTGTTGGTTGTTTCTTTCTTGTGAAGAGACTTTTTATGCTCATGTAGTCCCAGTATTTATTTTTGCTTTTGTTTCCCTTGCCTCAAGAGACATATCTAGAAAAATGTTACAGCCAGTGTCCAAGAGATTACTGCCTGTGTTCTCTTCTAGGATTTTTATAGTTTCAGATCTCACATATATGTCTTTAATCGATTTTGAGTTTATTTTTGTGTGTGGTGAAAGAAAGCGGTCCACTTTCGCTATTTCGCATGTGGATGTCCAGTTTTTCCAACACTGTTTATTGAACAGACATTTTCCCATTGTATATTCATTCCTCCTTTGTCAAAGATTAATTGACCTTATAATTGTGGGTTTATTTTGGGGTTTTCTGTTCTATTCCATTGATCTATGTGTCTGTGTTTGTGCCAGTACCATACTGTTTTAATTATTACTGCTTTGTAACATAATGTGAAATCTGGGGTTGTGGTATCTCCTATTTTGTTTTTTTCTTTTTCAAGATTGCTTTAGCTAATTTGAGTCTTTGTGGTTCCATAAAAATTTCAGGATTGGTTATCCTAATTCTATGAAAATTGCCATTGGTATTTTGGTAGGGATTGCAGTAAATCTTTAGATTACTGTGGGTAGTGTAGACATTTTAACAATGTTGGATGAATAAATATTGTTAAAATGTCTACACTACCCACAGTAATCTAGACATGGAATGTCTTTCCATTTTTTTTGCATCATCTTGAAATCCTTTCATCAGTGGTAAATAGTTTTTAGAGTACAGGTCCTTCATCTCTTTGGTTAAGTTTACTCCTAGGTATTTTAATTTTTGGTGCAGTTTGTAAATGGAATTGTTTTCTTATATGCAGATTTGTTTTTTGTTTTTGTTTTAATTTTATTTATGTATTTGACAGACAGAGATCACAAGTGGGCAGAGAGGCAGGCAGAGACAGAGAGAGGGGGAAGCAGGCTCCCCACTGAGCAGAGAGCTGGATCCCAGGAGCCTGGGATCATGACCTGAGCCGAAGGCAGAGGCTTTAACCTACTGAGCCACCCGGGCACCCCTGCAGATTTGTTTTTGATAAATACAGTATACCACTGTAAATGTATTTTCTCTTCCTTGTGATTTTCTTAACATTTTATTTTCTCTTGCTTGCTTTGTTATAAGAATATAGTATATAATACATATAACATAGAAAATATGTGTTAAGTAACTGTTTGTGTTACTAGTAAGGCTTATGTCAACAGTGGTTTGGGGAGTCAAAAGTTATATGTGAATTTTCAACTTCATGAAGGGGGTTGTGCCCCTAACTCCCACATTGTTCAAGGATGAGCTATACTTTCTTCTCGCTGAAAAAAAGGGAAATGGTATGTGTTCATAGAACTGCCAATTAGAAGCGGTTTTAAAAAAAAATTGCAGGGCTTTTTCTCTTCTTCCTCCAGATAGGATTGCATATGAATCACCCCAAAATTTAGTAGTCTACCCTCTTCTTTTTTTTTTAAGGGAAAAGACTGCCTCAGTTTTTAAGCCTCTAAAAAAGCCACATTTTTTAAGTTCCATTGCCACTCTTTTTTTTTTTTTTTTTTTTTTTTAAGATTTATTTATCTGTTATAGTGTGTGTGCTGTTGGGAAGTGGAGAGGGAGCGGGAGGGAGAGAGAATCCCAAGCAGACTCTGTGGAGTGCAGAGCCCGACGTGGAGCTCGATCCTGGGACCAGAAGATCACTACCTGAGCCAAAGTCAGACACTTAACCGACTGAGCCACCTAGGCACCCCTCCATTGCCCTTCTAAGTGGGAAATTTAAGAACCTGACATTTAGTAGACATTATAGCTGTTACATGACAAGATCAGAAGATATTTAATATGGGTGCGTCTGGGTGGCTCAGTTGGTTAAGCATCTGCCTTTAGCTCAGGTCATGATCTCAGGGTCCTGGGATCCAGCCCTACATCAGGCTCCCTGCTCAGTGGAAAGTCTGCTTTTCCCTTTCCCTCTGCCCCCACCCCCCAGCTTGTGCGCGCACTCTCTCACTCTCTCAAATAAATAAATAAAATCTTTATTAAAAAAAGAAATTGAATACACTCAAAGCAAGTTAATGGTATTCTGATAACTGAGTTTTAAACATAATTAAGAACCTAAAATGCGTATCTATTCAATTATTTTTTTATCTGTTTATGCACTTGAACATAATGCATAACTTGAAAGTAATGAATAAATTGGACTTGAGTGATTTCTCTTTGCTTATCTTAATGAAGAACGTGTTATTTTCCTTTTAGTTAACTCTTAAGAATAATTATAGAACAAATCTACTTTGTATATTATATTCTGTCCTTGGTTTTGCTGTTTAATGGGGTTGGATTCCATGGCCAGTGTTGTTGTAGGGACCTCTGAGGTGTTTCACCTCAGATTGACCATGAATTCAGTTAATCACTGTTAACATTCAGGTAAACTTAGGGTTTTTAATCATAACATTTGCCAAGCTTTATGTTGTCAAAATATAACTTTTTTCTAAATTGTCAAATTCAGTACTGTTTGAAGTCAGAAATCCTCAAGAAAGTAAAAAGGGGGGGAGTGAGGTGGGATATTCTTTTTTTTTTTTTTTAATTCTTAATAAACATTTTTATTTTTGTTGCTACAGAAAAGTCTTCCCTTCTTTAAGGCTGTTCAGATTTTAACTCAGAGAGAGATCCTCTATAATGATGAGATCTTCTGGGATGCCCAAACTTGTATGAATCTGCATTTGTATGCAGCAGTATGGTGGTCTTTTGGTAACTTTTGGTCTGAAAAGGAAGCCCTTGACAGTATTTGCCATACATAACCCACACTGTCTTCAGAGGAGGGATTTAGTTTTCAGAGATTCCCTAGAACATAAAATCTTGCCCTTGAAGATTTATTTAATTTCATTTTCAGTGAGTACCCTTTGCCATTTGCGATGAAATTGTGTGATTGTACTTGATACATGGAAAATATTTTATTAAAAAGTCTCCTTCCTTAGCAACATGTGTCATTGTTTTCAGGGTATACCTTCTCAGAAGCTTCACAGGAGGGAGAGCAGTGACAAGGAAGTTATCATTCTTTGCACGGTAAAATCATCAACTTCAGTCACCAGCTTCTAATTCAAATGAAATTTTAATTTGGATGTGTTACTGTTCCTTCTTGAAACAGTTTTGTTCCCAGTACGTGATATGTTATTTTGGTTTTATAATTGAAAATACCATGAAAACATGAAATATATACATGGAAACATCTGAGCTCTTTTTCCTGGAATATCAACATGGTTGATCTTAGGACTTGAATTAAAAGATTCTCTAGGGGTGCGTGGGTCGCTCAGTTGGTTGAGCATCTGTCTGCCTTCCGCTCAGGTCATGATCCTGGAGTCTTGGGATTGAGTCCTGCATCAGGGTCCTTGCTCAGCCGGGAGTCTGCCTCTCCCTCTGCCTATCTTTCTCTCTCTCTCTCTCTGACAAATAAATAAAATCTTTAAAAAAGACTTTCTAGAATTTGGGGCAAACCTCTTATTCTTTAAAGTCTTTCAGAAACCTACTTCTAATGAGGTCGTTCATATACTGCTCCTATATGGGTCAGTGTTTTGCTGGTAAAATACCAAGAGTAGGTAGTATCAGTCTAACATTTTATCAGTGACTATGTTACAGCAGATTTTCAGGAAATAAGTGTGATGCAGATCTTATCAGACAGAACACAGAGGATGTCAGACACATACAATTTAGATACAGAAGTAAGAGCAAACTGAGTTAAGCAGAGGTAGAGGAAATGCTTCAAGAGCGGGTACACAGGAATCCCGCCCTAGCGCGTGTAGATTTAATTCCTCTATATCAGCTCTGTGTGTGTGTGTGTGTGTGTGTGTGTGTGTGTGTGTTAGAAGGAAGAAAATGGAAAATTTGTTTTATACACTGATAAGAAAAGGTGCAGCCTACATTATAGAACTGAATTCACCAGTGACCTGAGTAAAACATTTGATTTGTTAATTGTCAGCAAGCTGGTTGAGTACACTTTTGTAGGACTTTACACTGGATATCTCTTCCTCTCTCCCTCCCCCATAGTTGTTGAAAACCAGATGTGTTGGAATTAGTCCAAAAGCCACAACTAGAGGGATTTGGTTTCTTCCAAGTTGGAGGATGACTATCTTTTTCCCTTAAAAAATGAAGTTAACCCTTTTAGGTGTTTATACTAGAGAAATAAGCCAGTTTTCATTCTAGTCATGGTCTTATTTTTTTAAAAAAACATGTTAAGTACATTATGATACCATTTTGGATTTTGTTTTATCTTTTTAAAGATTTTATTTCTTTATTTGAGAGAAAGAGCAGAGACAGAGCACAAGCAGGCGGAGGGGCAGAGGGAGAGAGAAGGAGACTCCCTGCTGATCAGGGAGCCCTGATGCTGGGCTTGTTCCCAGGCAGGACCCTAGGATCATGACCTAAGACAAAGGCAGACCTTAACTGACTAAGCCACCCAGCTACCACCCTTTTATTTAATTATTTATTTTTAAAATAGAATGGGGAAAAGCATGCTGTAAATACAACCGATCTTTTAAGACGAGAAAGGTACCACTTCCCCAAGCTAATCATTTGTAAATCTTTTATTTCTAGGCAAAAATGTCATCATTAGAACTTTTCTCTCCTTTTGGTTTATTCCATCCACCCATAAACCAAGATATATTCTGAGTTCCTTCTGGCCTCCCAGTTGTTTGTGCTGAATACCCCACACTGGAGGCACAGGAAGAGACCTTACTCTGATTCTTGAACTAGAAAAGGAGCCAAATTTTGCTATCATTGCACCACCCAGATGCTAGGAAAGCAAGAGCTACTGTGATTTGCTAATGTTTTCAAATCCACAAGTCTGCTGGTTTATATGAATTTAATTTCAGTCCTAACCACCTCCTTTCTTCTTGTCCCTTTTCCGTGTTTCAATGGATTTTTCCCAAAACACTTGCCTTGGTTTTTCCCTTTCATTCACCAGATGGAAGCATTCTATTTCCTGACAAGCGGACAGGTTTCAAAGTGTAAGTGTCCTTTCTTATATGCAGACTTGGGCCTTACAAAATTTAATGAGGTTGCTGTTACTTTTCTCAGCATTTACCAAATATCTGACTTTTATTTTGCTGAGCTCTCTTGCTTGGTCTTGAAGGATTTTTTGGTGGTTTTAGCAGTAATTGTAGTGGCAAAGACACTGCCACAGGTAATTAATTGCCTTTGTCTTGTGGCAGAAAAGCTTTTCCCACCTCTGCTGTACATAGCAAGTCCCACTGAAATGAAAAGCTCAAATAGTGATCACATAAAGAAGTTAATGTGTGAACTAGTTGATACATGTTAGGAATTCTTTATAAGATTTTCATAATCCGTGTGGAAGCTTTTTGTAAGTAACTGCATGTTTTTTAGGGTAAACACTAAAATGGATTTCTTTCTTTTCTGAAACAGTACTCTGGAAGAAATAAGATATGGTTTATGCTTTGATGCCACTGGGTGTATATGTGAGATTGTAGTGTATGAGGCATCCTTTAGCCTGAAGGAAAGATGTTATCGTGTTACAAAGCAGGATGTGTATATGATGAAATATAATGTGACAATGTGAATTTCGTCTCATTCAGTTCCTAAATGAGAGGACTCAAAACATTGCAGTAACAACTTGTTAGGAGCTGTTGGCCATATTTAATTCTCTTAAATTATGTAGAATGAGCAGACCTTCAGAATAGTAGACTCTGTAAAGGAAAAAAAAAATTAAAAAGCTTAGTATTCAAGTGTAAACATCAAGAATTTATCATCTGTTAGAATCCAGCAAAAGTGGCCTAGCATATTTTCCAGGAGAGAATGATAGGACCGGTCTAGGTAGATTAGTGGTAATAGGGGATATGTAACAAACACAGCACTTGTCACCAGAAAAAGCTGTTTCGTTTAGCTTCTCATTTTAACTGGGTGCCATGATTCCATCAACAGAGCGCCAGGTCACGTAGCAGCTGTCAAGCATTACACAGAATTATTTTGAGTAAATCTTTCTAGAATGTGGGATCTTTCTTTTTTGATAGTTTTGGCCTGCAAATTAAAAACAAATTAACATAAAGGTGAGATGCTACTACTTCGAGAGTGTTTTTAGGTTGTAATAAATAGAATGGTTCAGACCATGGTCTGGGGGGCAGACCACTGGTTTGAATTATGCTATCCAGCCTTCCTGTCCTTCAGTTTTCTTACCCCTAAAATAGGGTAATCATGGTATTTCATAAGCTTATAGGGATTATATTAGTTAATATTTGTAAATAGTGTTTGGCATGTGGTAAACACTATCTAACAGTTGGCTGAAATTGGTTTAGTAGCTGAACTGAGCACTGAATTCTAAAGATGTCTGTCTTCACAACTTAATAACATTAAGTTACTTCCCTTTTTACTTTTCTTTAATCTTTCTTAATACAGTATTTTTTGCACGGGTTTAATTTGTTCACATCATGGCCTTTTAGAACCGTGTTTCAGGAAAGAGCATGAGCATACACACTTTTCATTGTGTATTTTTAAAAACTATCCCCAAGCTAATGGGTCATCTCATGTAACGTAGAAGTAACCGCTCTCCTACACTGCGTTTCCAATCTGAAGCACAGACTGGACTTGAGAGTAGAAAATGACTTCCATAAACTAAAACTTAATGGAAATATTTTATTGATGATTAACTCTTAGCAAACTGGGATGGTATTGACTGTAATATATAGCAGATGGTATGCCTGCTGTGTTAAATGTCCCACATTTAACAGAGTTAGCTGGGTTGTAGAAAAATCACTGCATTTTATTTGGATGTCTCCTTTTTGCCTCCTCATAAGAATTTCCTGAAGATTCTGGAGATTCCGGTTCAGCAATTTGAGTTTAGAGCCTGAAAATATATACTGTCTTTTAAGCTATATAATAGACCTTATTTTTAAAAACACGTACATTTAACAGGCATTTCCAATGATTATGAAGGCACAACTTACTGTCACACGTCTTCTCTGAGACCCAGCTTTCTCACCAACAGAATCAAAGATGTGACTAGAACAATGGCCTACTTCCTAACTCACTTTATGATTTTGAGATTCCTATATTCCTAGTGATTATGATACCAAAGAATTCCATTATGTGTGAAACAGTATGGGGTAAGGAACGGAGCCATCTGTTTACCAGAAAAATTAATTCAGCAAACTTCAGAAAATGTTTACATAAAGAAAAAGCTTTCTATAAAATAGTAAACTTGAAATAATTAGTAGTAATTCACTTTCTAAAGATTTGTTTATTTATTTAGAGAGAGGAGGTGCTTGGGGTGAGGGGCAAGGGGAGAGAACCCTTGCTCATCGTAGAGCCCGACACAGGACTCGATCATGTGACCTGTGAAATCAAGACCCTGAGCTCACAACCTGAGCTGAAACAGTCAGATGCTCAACTCACTGAGCCACCCAGATGCCCCTGGGTTATTTCTAAACATTGACCATAAAACAGTAATAAAACATCCACAACTCTGGTACTCTTGTATTATCTTTTTTTGGATGTGTATGTACACACTGTTTAAAATCTTTCTGTTTTAGAATTAATGGTCCTTAGATTTAGCAAATTTACTAAAATTTTGTGTGGTTAAAACTTCTCATTATAATTTTCACTCTAATCCGTGGTAAGTCTCTTACTTTTGTTAGTTATCCCATCATCTGAACATAATTGGTCCTTCTTCACGCATCTTTGATAATACCTTTCCTGTTTATCACAGAGTCTCAGAGTCCAGTGTGTTCAGCTAGGGAGACATGCCTCACTGCCTGTGAGGACATAGTAGTTCAGCAATAAGGAGTGTCTAACAATCAGCAAGTTAGTATTGATTGTTCTGTTCTTGACTCCGTGATTTCTTTAGTTAATAGTAAATGGATAATTGGGGTCTATTAGCGCACTTATCCATGGATTGTTTTTATTCCCTATGTCTTCCCAAGCCAGTCTCAGGGGAGAATAGCATGTATTTCTTGGGCTCCACAAAGTCGTGCCCAATAATTGGTATGAATTGACATCAATTTTTGTTTTGTTTTGGGAAGAAGGGGTTGGGGGGAGCCTTTAGGAACAGAAGCAAGATGACAGTATGGAGTATCAAAGTCATAATTTCAAGGTTAATTTCTTTCAGATGAATTTAATTCTTTAAGTTAGAGATGCTCATTAATTAATGAATCTCTGTAGAGCAGGGACTACCTCTAGAACACCTTTAGGGTATACATCTCATTAAAACTGTTTAACGTGTGTGCTATTTTAAATGGTATATATTACAGATCTAATTGTGGTCTGTGGTGTTTAATCTATTTTAGAAACTGGATGGCTTCTACAGGGAGCCAGGCCTCTGATATAGACAAGATTCTTGGATTCTTCAGTGATGGCGCACCCCCCACCAAAAAGCCCAGGTAAACAAGGGAAGGGAATAGAGGAACATTTAGTAAATTGCCATTAATGGTAGATGACAAAAAATAACAAACAGACTTTCCCAAAACCCAGTTGTTTTCACAAATTAATATTGACCTTCATATAAAAATCATTTTTATTTTGGCTTTAACTTTTATTTTTAAAAAGGTCATAAATGTACATAATTTCCAAGTCAGTACTCCAAGCTTATAATGCCTTTTCCCTCTCCAGAGATAATCACTTTCAGCTTTTTTATCTGTTTCTTCTAATACTTGGATCCATATTTTTAAATGCTGTCTATTTACTGCTATTTTTTAGTTTTTGGTTTTATCTATTTTCCAACTAATGAAGATGAGGATTAGGCTTGCTCTCCTGGAGCCTCTCCACACATGTTGCCCCCACCCTACACACACATAAAACACTCTTTCCACATTTCCCTGGTGTTTTATGTCACAATGTTTGGTTGTCAGTTTTCTAATAGTTACATATAGGACTATATTAATAGTATTCATAGCTGAGCCTAACAGTGGTTTGATTATACTTTTTTGTTCATTTTTTCCACCAGATTATTCTCTCCCTCTCTCTCTCTTTCTCTCTCTCTCTTTCTGTTTGCTTTGTTTTTTATGTACCTATCAGCTTATCTTCAAACTCTGTGACAAAAAAAAATCTTTTAGATATGCTGACACTCATCAGTAATTTACTAGTTTACATTGTTTCATGGATTTTTTTCCCTTCGGTTTTCCTTCCGGACTGGCCTCCGCTCTGGACTATCATTCTCCAGACCTGCTGCATTGCTGATGGTTTGCCGTTTTCCTTTCCCGTGACCCCCAGAATTCCTTTTACATCTCTCCTGTTTTGGATCCTCTCTTTCCTGGATATTGTCTTGCCCTTTTTTGGTGTGTGGTCCTTCATTTTGCTGAAAAATACTCTAATCATGCACCCTTAGTAAGGATTCACAGGAAAAGAGTTTTTGGAGACATTTGAAGATGTCCTTATTATATTTGTCCATTTATTTGATGATTTGGCTGAGTGTCAAATTTTAGGTAGGAAATCATTTTCCTTAGAATTATGAAATTATTACTCATCCTCAGCCAGCAGCTATGTATTCCTGCCAAAATAATGAGTCTTTGCTGATTCCCAGCCCTTTGTGTTACAGGACCTCTTCTTTTCTCATTTGAGGCAGAATAGTTACTTTATTCTCAATAACCGGAAATTTCACAGTGATGTACCTTCATATGAGTCTAGATATCAGGTGGCCTTTTCCAAGTTGGCTACTGATAATTCACTTCGGAAAATTTTTTTCTTATTTGATAATTCCCTTCACAGTTTTTTCTGTATTGTGCCTTTGTAGTAGAACTCTTGGTATTTGGTTGTTGGACCTTTTGCAGTAAAACTCTGTAATTTTCTTTTTTCTTTTTTTTTTCCTTTTTTAAGAGAGAATAAAAGAGTGTATGTGAGCTTGGGGTGGGGGTGAGAGAGAATCTTCTTTTTTTCTTTTTTTAACGATTTTATTTATTGACACAGAGAGAGAGATAGGGGGAGTGGCAGGCAGAGAGAGAAAGAAACGGGCTCCCTGAGGAGCAGAGAGCCCGACGTGGGGCTCGAACCCAGGACCCTGGGATCATGACCTGAGCCGAAGACAGACCTTAACTGACTGAGCCACCCAGGTGTCCTGAGAGAGCGAGAATCTTAAGCAGACTCCATGCCCAACACAGAGCCCAAAAACGTGGCCCTTGAGATCATGACCTGAGCCGAAATCAAGTCGGACACAACCAACTGAGCCACCCAGGTGCCCCAAGACTCTAGTTTTCTTTTCTTTTTTTTTTTTTTTTTTAATGATTTTATTTATTTGTTTGACAGACAGAGATGACAAGTAGGCAGAGCAACAGGCAGAGAGAGAGGGGGAAGCAGGCTCCCTGCTGAGCAGAGAGCCCAATGTGGGGCTCGATCCCAGGACCCTAGGATCATGACCTGAGCCGAAGGCAGAGGCTTAACCCACTGAGCCACCCAGGCGCCCCAAGACTCTAGTTTTCTATTGCTTTTTTTTATTATTATACCTTCTCAGAGATTTCCGGTTTTCTTCCAATGTTACAAATTTTTTATTCATGACATTCTTAATTTCCAAGAAATCTATTTGTTTGCCCACCCCTTTTTTATAGTATTTTGTTCATTTTTCAAATATGCCTTTGTTTTTAAATCTACATGAGATAACTGTTTTCTTTTCCAATTTTCTTCTCTTTCCTGTATTGTCACTTCTTTCCTGCAGATTCCTTTTTCTTTTTTTTTTTTTTTTTTTTTTTTTTTTTTTTTTTTTTTTTTTTTTTTGGTTAAGATTTTATTCCTTTATTTGATGAAGAGAGACACACAAGAGAGGGAACACAAGCAGGGGGAGTGGGGGAGGGAGAAGCAGACTTCGCGCTGAGTGAGGAGCCTGATGCTGGGCTCCATCCCAGGACTCTGGATCATGACCTGAGCCAAAAGCAGCTGCTTAACTAAGGCTGAGCCACCCAGGTGCCCCCAGCAGATTCCTTTCTATCTGCGAGTTTGTTTAGGTGTAACTCTCACACCGGGGGCTTTGTTCAAATGTAAAGTGACCTTTCTTTGCTCATATTTAAGAGAAGACACTAAAAAGCCAATTTGAGAACCTATGTGTGCATAAGGTACTTGGTCACTGATGGGCTTCACTGTGGGTGTCAACCATGGGCCAGGTTCTGTAACTGAGGAATCCCAACCTATCAGAATGTGTGGGTCTTTCCTCTCATGCTGGCCTTTTTCCCCAAAAAAGGAATCCTGGGTGGGGGGCATAGGGTGCAGGTATAAGGTTGACTGCCATTGTCTGAGAGTCTTCCTCTCGGAGAAGGATGCAGGGGAGTCTTATATTTCATATATTGACTTTTACTTAATTCCCTTTCCCAAGCTGTGCACAGTGTTCTCAGATACAGAACCCTCTGGTATAGCCTCTCTGGAAAGCAGGCCTCTGGTCATAGAGTTCTAACTGCTTCTAATATGGCCTTGCAGGGAATTCTCTGTTTTGGCCCCACCTGCTCCTCTACCTTCAGATTTATTTGAACACTCCCAAAGTTCTACAGAGGGAATCATCTCTTACTGTACAATTCCTAAAATTTTGTTGGCCTGTGTTGTCTGCTGTCATCTTTCCCTATTTTGAGTTTTATGAATTTATGCCTTCTAAAAAAAATTAGTTACTTAGTGGTTTTAGGAAGAATCAGAAATGAAACACAATTGCTGATTTTTTCCTTTTTAACTAGAAATTTTAAATTAGGCGAATTACACCCTAAACCTATAATGGAAGAGGTAAAAAAAATTTCAAATAATACAGTACAATCAAGTGAAAAGTAAAAATCCTTATTCTTCTCAATCCCCAGAGTTAACCACTATTTATAGTTCTTGTGAATCCCTCTAGAAATTTTCCATGAGTATATATTTGTGTATTTTCCATATCTTGATTGCCTTGAACTGAAACTCATTTTCGTCATTTGCTTCTGATATCTGTTACCAGTCTTTTCCAGTAGACTAAACGTTTGAGATTAGGGACTTCATTTTATTCATAGAAACATCACTAATGGGACGTCTGGGTGGCTCAGTTGGTTAAGCCGCTGCCTTCAGCTCAGGTCATGATCCCAGGGTCCTGGGATCGAGTCCCGCATTGGGCTCCTTGCTCAGCAGGGACCCTGCTTATCACTCTGCCTGCTTGTGGGCGCTCGTGTGCGCCCACTCGCACGCGTGCACTCTCTCTCTCTCTCTCTCTGACAAATAAATAAATAAATAAGATCTTAAAAAAAAAAAAAGAAACATCACTAGTACCAACCATAGTATCTGGTACTTGGTAAGTTTTTCATAGTTGTTGAATGACCAAGTGCTGGAGTTGGAAATAGGGAAGGCAGTTGCAAGGTTTGTTTCCCCAAAACAGGTTTCCCAAGGCTTAAAGTACCGTTTCTTTCTTTTTTTTTTTTTTTTAATTTATTTATTTGACAGACAGAGATCACAAGCAGATAGAGAGGCAGGCAGAAAGAGAGGAGGAAGCAGGCTTCCCGCTGAGCAGAGAGCCCAATGCGGGGCTCGATCCCAGAACCCTGAGATCATGACCCGAGCCGAAGGCAGAGGCTTTAACCCACTGAGCCACCCAGGCGCCCCTAAAGTACTATTTCTTATGTTATACCAAAATGCAAATCCTTTTTCTTTTATTTTGACAAAAAATTGAGAAAGGCAGTTTCTTGGAAAACACCTGCCATCAGCAAAAATTAAAGTGAGTAAATATTTCAAACATATTTTAATGTAGTTTCCAGACTGAAGTGTGGGGGGTGGGGTGGAGTGGGGTATGGAGAACCAAAACACAAAACTTGTGTCTGTACTTCTCTTCAAGACAGAACTCCGTGCTTCTCATGGTAAGAAAGGAATGTTTTCCACTTCTTGTCATATCTGTTGAATAGTTATAGCTTTGTTTATTTAGGTAACGTGAAGCTCCCGTGTTTTCAGAATTCTGTTAGCTACTTTTTTTTCTTCCTCTTTTTTTTTCCTTTTTGCCTTGCAGATAGAAATCTAGAACAAAATGTAAGTGAAATGTGTTCCCATACTTGATGGTCTCATTCTCAGTTTAGTCATGCTCAATTTTATCGTACTAGTGTTTACAAAATTGAGCTTAACTTTGGCTTTCTTTCATCTCTTGTTTTATATCTCTCAACAATAGGAATTTAATTTGTATGGATTTCTTTTCTCTCTGGAATCCATGTTTTTTGAAATTTAATGTTGGTTTGAAATATAATTTAGTTCGCAGAACTCAGCTGGGCTATAATTTAATTGGTTCTTTTCCTACTGTTAGTGGGTTTTCTTAGATTCAAAGAACTATGAGGGAGAAAATTGTTTTTAAGATTGCCTCTTAGGGGGCACCTGAGTGGCTCAGTGGGTAAAAGCCTCTGCCTTCAGCTCAGGTCATGGTCCCAGGGTGCTGGGATCGAGCCCCGCATCGGACTCTCCGCTTAGTGGGGAGCCTGCTTCCCTTCCTCTCTCTCTGCTTGCCTCTGCCTACTTGTGATCTCTGTCTGTCAAATAAATAAAATCTTCAAAAAAACAGAAACAAACAAACAAAAAACCTTTAAAGATTGCCTCTTAGGATTCCTGAAATAGGTTTTTCAGCAAGCCTTGGCACAATATTCTGGTCTTTTTGCTTAAGATACTCAGGAGAGGTATCAGAAACTGTTAATATCCTCTTTGCAACTATGAAAGTGATAGCTGAAAACCATGATTTTCAACAGCCTTTCCATGTGTCTCCTATCTTTTGGACATTCCCAATCCTCTTCGTTTGGTTGACTTTTTCAGGAAGCTGCTTCCAAGCTTAAAAACGAAGAAGCCTCGGGAACTTGTGCTGGTGATTGGAACAGGCATTAGTGCTGCGGTGGCACCTCAGGTTCCAGCTCTGAAGTCCTGGAAGGGGTTGATTCAGGCCTTACTGGATGCCGCCATTGATTTTGATCTTCTAGAAGATGAGGAGAGCAGAAAATTTCAGAAATGTCTCCATGAAGACAAAAACCTTGTCCATGTTGCCCATGACCTTATCCAGAAACTCTCTCCTGTGAGTATCCTCCTGTGTATCTTGGCATTATTTCCTGAAACTGTGACACATGTGCTGAATTTGACAAGGATATTCATTGCGAGCTTATGGATTTTTGAGGGGGGGTGGGCAGATGGAGAGAGAGAGAGAGAGAATCTTAAGCAGGCTCCACACCCAGAGTAGAGTAGGAAGGAGGGCTCGATCTCACAACCCCGAGATCATGACCCAAGATGAAATCCAGAGTCTAGAGGCTTAACCGCCCAGGTGCCCCTTTAGCTTATAGATTTGCATAACTCTTGGCTCTTCCACAAAAGGTCTGTTAATGGACCCTATTCAGGGTAGTTATCTTGATGCTTGCGTGTGTGTGTCTGTTTGTCTTTGTGTGTCTGTGAGATGGTGGCAGTAATGATGTTGAGGTCTTTATATTTACAAAAATGAGACCACTGTCCCATTATTGCTGTGTTTTGAATTTATTTTTTCTCTGCTCATTACTGTGATAGTGGCATTCCCTGCCATCCATGCCTTTTAGGGAACCCCAGAAAGATTAGAGATCATTCTTACCCTTTTTGGGTTAAGCAACACCATTTCTTTAAATGTTTCTTTTAAAGGCGATCACTCAGAATATTTATAAGGAATTTTGTCTTGTCTTATCAAGCTGAGTTGGATACCAGTTCATGAATAATAAGGATCTCCTTGTTTGCACTGTCTTCAAAATGCCTTCAAAAATCAGAATTCATTTAAGATATACTTAGAAATAATAGAGTAGCCAAATCATGTTCTAAATCTTAATAAATCACATATTTTTGAAAAAAAAAAAAACTCTTGTTATAAAGTAAAATTTTTTTAAAGATTTTATTTATTTATTTGACAGAGATCACAAGTAGGCAGAGAGGCAGGCGGGGGGGTGGGGGGAGAGCAGGCTCCCTGCTGAACAGAGAGCATGATGCAGGACTCGATCCCAGGACCCTGAGATCATGACCTGAGCTGAAGGCAGAGGCTTAACCTACTGAGCCACCCAGGCGCCCCTTATAAAGTAAATTATTAGTGTTGATTCCCACACCCTCTTCCCAGGCCCTTGGGCGTATAGGAAAGAAGTGTCATTAAAAGTTAGCCTAAAAGAGAGCCATTTAAAAGTAATTTCCTCTTGGTTCATGACTCATTTCAGAAACTTAGTACCTTTTACTTCCTCTTCTCATTTCTTTGTCCTTAATTGTGATAAAATGTTACTAATCTAGAACAGTGTAAATAATTAGTAAGCTAATAATTAGTAAGCTTTAAAGAGTTCATAGGACCTCTGTGTTACACCATACACAAAATTAATTCAAAATGGATTAAAGACCTAAATAAAAGAACTTAAAACTATAAAACTCCAAGAGGAAAACAGATTGACAGCTTCATGACTTTGGACCTGGCAGCAGTTTTTTAAACACGACACCAAAAAGCACAAGTAACAAAAGGAACAGTAGATATACTGCACCTTACCAAACATAAAAGCTCTCGGGCTCAAAGAGCACTCTCAAAAAAGTAAAAAGTCAGCCCCCCCCCCCTGCCCCCCCCCCCCCGCCCGAGAACAGGAGAAAATATTAGCAATTCATTTATCTCCTAAGGGTGTAGTGTCCAGAATAAAGAACTATTATAGCTTAACAATAAAAAAAGCAAATAATTCAAAGGATTTGAATCGACGTGGCTCCATGTGCCAGTGAGCGCATGTAAAGGCGTAGAGCATCTTTTCATGTAGTAGTCATTAGAAAAATCCACATCACAACCACTTGAGGTATACTTCACATGCACCAGATGGCTAGACTCAGAAGGTCAGTTAAATGTTGGTGAGGCTGTAGAGAAACTGAATCCCTCATCTACTGCTGGGATTGTGAAATGGTGCAGACAATGTGAAACACAGTCTAGCAGTTCCTCAAACAATTAAATATAGAGTTACCGTCTGACCCAACAATTCTGCTTCTGGATAGACCCTAGAGAAATGAAAACATATGTCCATACAGAAGCTCACACACAAATGTGGGTAGCAGTATTCATAATAGGCACAAGGTAGAAATAACCCAGATGTCCATCTACTGTCAAGTGGATAAACAAAATGCAGCACATCCATACAATGGAATACTACTTGCCAATTAAAGGGAGTTCAGTACTGATAACATGCTGCAGTTTGAATGACCCTTAGCGTAATGGAAGCCAGTCCCAAAAGACCACATATTAGATGGCTGCATTCATGCAGAATGTTCAGAATAAGGAAATCTGTTAGAGACAGAAAGTTGATTAGTAGTTGGCAAGGACTAGAGCACAGATGGAGGGCAGCCGGGTGATATTTAAAGGCCTCGTGGTTTCTTTTGATATGATGACATGTTCTAAAATTGACTGTGGTGACAGTTGCGGTATCTGTGAATCTATAAATAATCATTGAATTTACACTTCAAATAGGTGAATTGTATGTTATGAGAATTGTAGGTCAGTAGAGTTGTTAAAGGTAAAAGGATAGAAAATGTGTAATTCAAATACTAATCAATAGAAAGTGAGAGTGGCTGTATTAATATCTGATAAAGCACACGAGAGCAAAGAGGAAAGAAAACTTTTTTAATGTCTTAAAAAATACAAAATTGTTGTTGTATAAAAAGGTAATTAAAGAGTACGTAGCCAAAAAATTTAAAGGAAAAGTATTACAGAAGTGTGTCAGCCAGTTAGTTAATAAAAATGATATCTTTTTTGGGGGGAAAAAAAAGGCTCATGAGTACTGTGTTAGACTAGGAAGACTGGTCCGTGGATGAAGACGTTCTCTTTCAGACTAGGATGTACAGTGTTGTCATGCCACTCTCGTCTTGGCTTTAACCTTCACTCATCCATCACAGTGGTCTCCTGAGAACAGAAAGCGTGATTTTACTAGTTGGGTGAATTGTGATTGAAAGTAATGAGAAGTTTTGAAGTCAGTGTCAGTAAGCGTATACCCAACAAACATCAAACTGGGGTCACTAATTATCTTTGGATGAAAATTTATTACTAACCTTAAAATTTGTTGTGGGTTAGTGTCAGTTGCAGTAGAGGAGAAATTATCAAATTTTTTGGTCTCAAGACTCCTTTATATACTCTTAAAAATTATTGAGAAACTCAAGTAGCTTTTGTTTCTGTAGAATATATCTGTCAATATTCACTATTAAAAATTGAGAAATGGGGGCGCCTGGGTGGCTCAGTGGGTTAAAGCCTCTGCCTTCAGCTCAGGTCATGATCCCAGGGTCCTGGGATCGAGCCCCACATTGGACTCTCTGCTCAGCAGGGAGTCTGCTTCCTCCTCTCTCTGACTGCTTCTCTGCCTACTTGTAATCTCTGTCTGTCAAATAAATAAATAAAATCTTTAAAAATAAATAAATAAATAAAATTTAAAAAAATTGAGAAATGTTTAAAATATTTACTTAACAGTACCAATAAGCCTATCACATGTAAACGTAATTAACATGTTTGTGGAAAATAATTACAGTTTCCAGAAATTAAAAATTAATAGTATCGTTTCACACTTTAAAAAATCTTTTAAATATCTGGCTTAATAGAAGACAACTGCATTCTCCTATCTGCTGTAAATACCGTGTGTTGTTTTGGTTTAAGTATATGGAAAAAGTCAGGTCTCACAGGTGTGTAGCTGGCAAAGAAAGAAGTTTTTGTTTTTTATTTTTTATTTTTTTTAAGATTTTATTTATTTACTTGACACAGAGAGAGATCACAAGTAAGCAGAGCAGCAGGCAGAGACAGAGGAGAAGCAGGCTCCCTACTGAGCAGAGAGCCCGACTCGGGGCTTGATCCCAGGACCATGAGATTATGACCTGAGCCGAAGGCAGAGGCTTTAACCCACTGAGCCACCCAGGTGCCCCAAGAAAGAAGTATTTTAATAGTCTTTTTAGATACTTACAGATATTCACTGTTGATGCTACACTAAAAACTCAGTTAAGTGGTAGCTTCCTTCCTAAAGATTAATAGCAGTATGGAATCTGAAATCACATCCCTATTAATGGTAATATGGAATCTGAACTTTTCCTATTCTGTTGCATTAAAATCCATGATCCATCTTGCACTTAGAATAAATCTTTCGCCCATGCATGATTTTGTAACATCATGCATCTGTCATTTAGAAAATCTTGGTTCACTGAGTTACATATATCCTCTAGATATTGACACATTTCACTACACAGCTCAAAAATTACATTCATCAATAATACCACCAGTCTCATCACATAAGTATTTGGAGGTTGTCAAGCTCCTGGTGGCCCATTAGAGTTTTCTAAAATTCTGGTTTTTCAGTTCTCAAATGTGTTTGGAACCAGAATAGACCCCAAATAGCCAAAGTAATGTTAAAAAAGAAAACCAAAGCTGGAGGCATCACAATTCTGGACTTCAAGCTCTATCACAAAGCTGTAATCATCAAGACAGCATGGTACTGGCACAAAAACAGATACATAGACCAACGGAACAGAATAGGGAGCCCAGAAATGGACCCTCAGCTCTTTGGCCAACTGATCTTTGGCAAAGCAGGAAAGAATGTCCAATAGAAAAAAGACAGTCTCTTCAAAAAATGATGTTGGGAAAATTGGACAGCCATGTGCAGAAAAATGAAACTGAACCATTTCCTTATGCCACACACAGAAATAAACTCAGAATGGATGAAAGACTTAAATGTGAGACAGGAAGCCATCAAAATCCTAAAAGACAACACAGGCAGCAACTTCTGTGACCTTGGCCACAGCCAACTTCTTGCTAGGCACTTCTCCAAAGGCACAGAAACAAAATCAAAAATGAACCATTGGGACTTCATCAGGATAAACATTTTCTTTTGCACAGCAAAGCAAACAGTCAACAAAGCTAGAATGCAACCTACAGAATGGGAGAAGATATTCAAAAATGACATACCAGATACAAGGCTAGTACCCAAAATCTATAAACTCACCACCCAAAAAAGAAAAAAATGTAGTCACGAAATGGGCAGGAAGACATGAACAGACATTTCTCCAAAGAAGACATTCAGATGACTAACAGCAGACACATGAAAAAATGCTCAACATTACTCAGCATCAGGGAGATACAAATCAAAACCACCATGAGATACCACCTCACACCAGTCAGGATGGCTATAAAATTAACAAGTCAGGAAACAACACGTGTCAGTGAATATGTAGAGAAAGGGGAACCCTCCTACACTGTTGGTGGGAATGCAAACTGGTGAGCCACTCTGGGAAACAGTGTGGAGATTCCTCAGAAAGTTAAAGATAGAGCTACCCTATAACCCAGCAGTCGCACTACTGGGTATTTATACAAATGAAACAAAAACAGTGATTCAAAGGGGCACATGCACACCGGTGTTTATAACAGCAATGTCCACAATAGCCAAAACATGGAAAGAACCCAGATGTCCCTGGACAGATGGATGGATAAAGAAGATACATAATATATATAATGCCAGCCATCAGAAAGAATGAAATCTTGCCATTTGCAATGATGTGGATGGGGCAGGAGGGTATAATGCTAAGTGAATTAAGTCAGAAAGACAAATGCCATATGATTTCACTTATATATGGAATTTAAGAAACAAAACAGATGAACATAGGAGAAAGGAAGGAAAAATAAGATTAAAAACAGAGAGGGAGACAAACTATAAGAGACAACTATAGGGAAAAAAACTGAGCGTTGCTGGAGGGGAGGGAGTAATGGGGTGATGGACATTAAAGATGGCACTTGATGGAATGAGCACTGGGTATTACATGCAACTGATAAATCACTAAATTCAACCCCTAAAACTAGTACTACCCTATATATTAACTAAATTGATTTTAAATAATTTTTTTTTTAATTTCTGGTTTTTGCTTGAAAGCTCCACTTTTGTCATAGGAAACCATAACAGCAGTCCTCAATTGTTTCCCTCAAAATGGCGGGCTCGCTTCATTTGTTTTTTCAAAAATGCCTGAGAATACCCAACTCCGAATGATTAGTTTATCATTTGTTCAAGTAAAAATAATGTTTGATGAAAAAACGGATAATTGAGCTAACAGTTCAATCACACAAATGTTTTGCCCGGAGACAGCCATCATACTTCGGGCTGCAGCAGAAGTGCTCTGTGCACATTTCCTCTTTCTTCATACAGACTTTTAAAAGGAAGGGTCGGGATTTAATACAATAATTTTTACTGCTTCATTAAGAACATTTTTAAGTGAAACTGGGACTTTTTTTCTAAGTCTTTGGTCATGAAGAATGCAGTGATTACAGGCACAGCTGAGTTATACTGTCTTGATTCACACTAAGTCACCAGCAGTTTTACCCACGATTGCTTTTGTACCATTGGTGCACATATCGGCACAGTTTAAAAGACAGAAATGACCTTAATATTATTATGAAAATAATTTTACTTTGCAAACTCCTTAAAGAATCTTAGAGATCCACAGGGACCATGGGCTGTGTTTTGAAACCTACTTTATTTTTTTGAAGATTTTAGTTATTTATTTGACAGAGAGATCACAAGTAGGCAGAGAGGCAGGTGTTTCTTACACTAGGGAGGTGATATTGTGCATTCAGTACAGAGAACTTGGGTTTCAGAATCAGACTCTGCCATTTAAATGCACTGGGACTTTGGGAAAATTCACTTCTCAGAATCTATTTTTGCATCTGTAAAACTGGGTTAATACTACTTAACTCACGAAGAGTAAGTTAGATAATGTATATGAAGTGTTTGGCACATAGTAAGTACACTATGAATGTCAGTAACTTTGGTGAGAAAGAGTCAGGATTTTGTTTTTACTGTATCTGGGATCAGAAAAATGAGAGTTAAGGGTAGAAGGAGCTCCAGTACCATTGGTTTCATTTCACTGTTTTAAGTGAATAAGAAAACGTCCATAAAATTGTGTGGGAGTTTGGCATTTCCTTTTGACTATGGAACCTCCTTGTTTGTTTTCATTCCTTTGTCTTTGCTTAGGCTACTGGTGGGAAATTTAGTTCTAGGGTCACATACTTCAAGAGAAAGAAATGTTCGTTTTAAGTCTGAGGAAATAAATAAAAGAAATAAAGAAATAATTTTAAAAAAAGTCTGAAGAAATCAGCACAGCTACAGAAAGCCTCTTCCTTCCTCTCTGTGTCGCTACACAAGATGTAGGAACTTAAAGAAATAGAACTAAGATATAGCTCAAATAAGTGACTTAGAACATTTATTCCCAGGCTTTTAACCTTTTGTATTTCTTTCCTTACAAGCAAGAAAATAGTCCACACCCATAATTACCCATTTGTATACGCAGGTATTTTTATCTGTGTGTGTAATGATTAAACTGGCGCTGGAGTATGAATCAGAGTACAAAATGAAGATACAAAACACAACAGGGAAGTTCTTGAAATCACCATAGTTTTTATTTAATTTTAAGCTTAGTTTTGCTTTTTTGAATAGATATTATGTATGCACCTTGCAGAAATCAAAATGAGGTAAAAAGGTTTATGTACATTGCAACATCTCATTCCCACCATGTCTTTGTCTACCTCCTCTTCCCAAACTCACCCCTCCCGGATAGGTCACCACTCTTACTAACTTTTTGAGTATCCTTTCAGTGTTCCTTTTTCGCAAAACAAACAAAATAGGACTAGATTTATTCTATCTCACTACCTCTTCCATCCCCCATGTCAAAAGGTAACACTCTAAATGTACTGTTCAGTATCTTGTTTATTTTACTTAGTAGTATATCCTGGAGATCTTTCCATACTGGCCTCCTTTATGGGTTCTTGGCCATCTCAATTTCCTACACGCAGATTGCATGGCTTGTTTCCAGTCCTTTATTATTACAGATAACAGAGCAGTGATAACCTTGTGTATGTCATTTCATTTGTTTGTAGTATATCTGTGGAATATATTCCCAGAGATGGGATTGCGAGACTGTAGGGTAAATGGATTGTGGTTTTGGTAGATACTAAAGGGGAGTCATATTTTTTATATAGTTCATGTATGTGGTGAAATTCATTAAGTATGGTTGTAAATTCTTCACTGTTTCTGATCGGATTGTTCAAGTCACAGTTGAAAAGCATGCCCCACATTCTTAGCCACATAAATATGGGCTATACCATCTGTCTAGCACCAGAAGAGACTCTGAGCCCACTGACAACAGCGTATCATGAGAATCCTGTCTAACGGTAGATGTTGCATGGACTAGTGATTGACAGACTAGATAAACTTCAGGGCGTGTCACCACCTTCGCTTTGTGGTTTTAGTTTCACCTCTGTGCTCTAGTTTTCCAATGTTTAAATATTTACCATTTCTTCTAGTTGGTAGGTATAATTTAAAGACTGGATAATTTTATAAAGTTCTTTGAAAAATTAGGAAAAGAATTTGCAAATGGAAGTGTATTTTATGAATCTGCTTACGTGGTTCCATGGAAACAGATCTTTCTCTGAGCATTGAGCTATTTAGAAGGAGACACAAAACCAGGAAGGTAGGGGGACTGATTTGAGGAAAAACGAAAGGAGCTCAGACACCTCTGTTATAGTAGCTGAGTACAGTTACTTGGAGTTTGGGAAATACTGGGGCCTTTATGAACTGATTCTTGCTTTGATACTATCCAACGGCCTGATAGTTGCAGGAACAAGATAGGAATTAGACATTTGTTATAGCACATTACGTAGTTACATTCCTTTTGCAATTCCTGTGTCCTTGGGCTCACTTCTTTTAAGTTATAAAGCCACCTTCTACCAGGGGTTTGTATTCTATTTCCTCATTAGTCATTGAGATATTTACCTATACTCAGAATGAAACTGGGAGAGCCCTTATTCAGGTAAACCATATGTAAAAAAGGAGGAAGGGCACCTGGGTGGCTCAGTTGGTTAATCGTGTGCCGTAAGCACAGGTCATGATCTCCGGGTCCTGGGATCCAGCCCCTGCATTGGGCTCCCTGCTGGGCAGGGAGTCTGTTTCACCCTTTCTCTCTAACCCTCCCTTCTGCTCATGTGCGCGTGTTCTCTCTCTCTTTCTCTCTCTAATGAATAAGTTTTTTAAAAAATCTTAAAAGATATAAATAAATTTTTTAAAAAACAAAGGAAGTCTTCTTAGAACTGATTAATGTTTGGTATTTTTAAAAACAGTTGCAAAATGCAGATTTATGGTAACCTTTGTTATATAGTATTTTTCCCAGCATACCTGTAAACAAATTCCTGAATTATGCTAAGGGAAAAAAGCAGGCAGGGATAAGATAAGCCATTTTTCCTAAATCCATAAACATCTTGACCATGCCCATTTTCTTCAATCTATAAAAATGCTTGTTTAGAGAATTTATGCTTATTTGCATGTGATGTAATAGTACTGATCACTTACTATGTGCTAGGCATTGTGCTAAGCACATGGCATGTTTCCCGTTTTTCTTAGTATAACTTTCTGAGGTAGACAATATTTTATCCTTATTCTTAAGTACAGTATTCTTCAAAAATTTGCTGTATTATTGAAATCAAAACAAGTGACCGACAAAACACGTGGAATTAATTTTTCTCTTTCTAATCCCTCCCCAGCGAACTAGTAATGTTCGATCCACGTTTTTCAAGGACTGTTTATATGAAGTATTTGATGATTTGGAGTCAAAGATGGAAGATTCTGGAAAACAGCTTCTTCAGTCGGTTCTTCACCTGATGGAAAATGGAGCCCTGGTATTAACTACAAATTTTGATAATCTCCTGGAACTGTATGCAGCAGATCAGGGAAAACAACTCGAATCCCTTGACCTTACTGATGAGAAAAAGGTAACAAGTAAAGGATTGGTCTCTTCTTCAGGCTAGTGGGTTGTATCTTCATCAGAAAAACTGTTTTCTAGTTGGTATATTATACACTGCTGGTATTTATGTTGAGGTATAAAGGAAGATTCTTGTCCCTAGTTGGATTTTTATTTTTTCGTTTTTGAGATAAAATCAATACAGAGTAAAACGCACAGCTCTGAAAAGTATTCAGGTCTGTGAGTTTTGACAATTTCACGCAATTTCAAAGCAAGGTTATAGGAAGTCTTTTAAACTGTAAGATCTTTTTAACATTTGCTAATATCAGATGAGCACAATACTGATTTAGAGTTCTTTCTTAGGATATATTCTTCGTGGCTTCTATAAGAAATGTATGAACACTACTTTTTGATGTCTGAAGAGCAACTTTCAAGCCAAGTGATAGCTGGGCTGAAGTTGATGTTCAGTGGAAACCTCAGGAGAGTTGTGTTTTGTTTTTTTTTAATACAGCCCATGCTGTATGTAGTTAAGCCACTTACCATAATACTGAATTATAGATGTTGATCTATGTCAACTAAGAAGATAAGGCTTTTTTATTAGAATGGTCACTTGAGTTTGTAATTTGAACTTCCACACCAGTAGGAGATTCTGTAGATGGACTAACATTTACTTAATTGATGAAATACAGTGAAGCCATGAAAAGGAAAATATTTCCATTACCATAATCAGAGATGATGAAATGAAGAAGGAAGAAAGAAAAAACAGGTTATAAAATGCTACCAAGTCTCATTTGTCCTGCTTTGTATTTTGCAATTTTCCTTCTCCACTTTATTTTCCAAGGAACCTACCTTTTTGTCTGACTTAGAGCCCAGATAAACAGTTTGGATAGAAAACTGATTCACCCGCTGACATTTATTGTCACAGTACTGTCTCTGCCAGAGCAGCAGCTACAATGCCATTCTTGTGATTTGGCCGAGCTTGCGGTCAGGTTTTAAAAAGAAATCAAATGTAAAGAAATGGTGCCGTGAAGGCTGGTTGGCTCTGGCTGGCATGTTTCCCACCTGTTACCTGCGTGCTTGGTATGGTCAGCTCCTTCTTCGCCTGTAAGTCTCTCTCTGACCTGCCCTTACGTTTTTTGAAGGGGCCTGTCCTTATTATTTTTACCCATTTCTTTCATGGCACTTTACTGTAACTTTCAGTTTTTAATCTCGGTTTGTTTTCTCACTGTTTGTCTCCATTTGCGCAGATACTGCATCAGCCCTTACCCTGACGTCTAAGATAGTACTTGGCACGTAGCAGGTGCTCAGTAAATACTTTTTGAAATCATAGATGATTGAACGAAATTCAAATATTAATGGCAAGAAACAGCTTCTCTGATGTTCCTGATATAATCTCCTGGGATTATGACCAGCAACAGAAGCATAAGGGCCTTTTCAAAATAAGGGGTTTCTCTCAGACTTGGCTCTTTTCTCTTGCATTTTCATCCTGGAAGGTTTGCTTTGTGGTTTTAGTCCACAAGAGGGCAGTATTGAAATCAAGTGCATTAACGCCCTTGACTGGTGGTGAGATTGCAACCTGGTGTTACTCAACGTGCAGCATCTCTGTGCCTCTTCCCTAACCCAAACCTGATTTTCTCTAGAATGATAGGAGAATGAAATTATGCTTTCTCAAGTCCTTGAGGAAATGGAACAGTGACATCCAGGTGTCTCTCTTTACCCTTGTCATCTAAGTGATTATTTTTCACTGGTAGCCTTTTAGGTAACTCAGGGGACAGAGTTGCTATCCACTGCACAAAAAAAACCACCCGGAAACTTTGGGGCTTCAAACATTTTATTTGCACCTGATATCGTGAAGTGAGCATTTGGGCTAGGCTCAGAACCGGGGCATTCGTGCTGGTTTTGCTGGTTACCCACGTGGCTGCAGTCACGAGGTGGTTTGGCCCAGGCGGGGTTGCTGTCAGATGGCCCTGCTCCCATGTCTGCCGGTATGGGCATTTGGCTGGGCCACGTATCTCTAGGAGGCTAGCTGAGGCTTCTTATGTGATGGTGCCGGCTTCCAGAAGCCACAAAAGGGAAATGAAATCTGTGCCAACATTTTTCAAGCTGCTGCTTGCATCCTGTTTGCTAAGGCCCTGTTGGCTGAAACAAGCCAGTAGCCAAGCCTGGAGTAAGTGTGAAAAAGGACTGCACAGTGCCTGGATATAGGATGTGTGATACCTTGGGGATCTTTGCTGAAACAGTCTTCCCAAACTGTCATGGGTATCACCAGTGGTATGAGCCCTAGCATTTCTGCAAATGATGACACTTCAGTTTTTGATGGTTACGTTCAAAGCGAAATCACCAGGCATGCTTCCATCAGCCCTAACAGCCGTGCCTGGAATGGAAACTGAAGCCACACTAAGTCTTAAATGTTTGCCCTACGGTATCATGAAGTGTCATGCCAGCAGCCTCGTGCCCATGGGGACCTTTAAGCAAATGCTCAGCCCTGCCAACTTGGTTGAGCCATATTTGTGTTATACAGGTTCTAGAGTGGGCTCAGGAGAAGCGGAAGCTGAGCGTCTTACACATCCACGGGGTCTACACTAATCCTAGTGGCATTGTCCTCCATCCAGCTGGGTACCAGAATGTGCTCAGGAACACTGAAGTTATGGTGAGTGGCGCTGCTCTTGCTGGTCGCAGGAAAGCCTTCCTGGGAAACCTCTGAATACACGCTCGGTCTTCACGGGATAACGTTTTCCCCATGAGTTAAAACTGGAAGGTGAAGCTTTCCTTCTGTGCTTCTTAGCTTGTGGTTGTGCATGTGCTAGTTTAGGAAATGCAGAATGTCTTTTCAGGTGTCCAGCCGGAGGTTTTTACCTTGTTCTTTTTTTTTTTTTTAAAGATTTTATTTATTTATTTGACAGAGAGAGATCACAAGTAAGCAGAGAGGCAGGCAGAGAAAGAGAGAAGGAAGCAGGCTCCCTGCTGAGCAGAGAGCCCGATGTGGGGCTCAATCCCAGGACCCTGAGAAATCATGACCTGAGCCAAAGGCAGAGACTTAACCCACTGAGCCACCCAGGGGCCCAAAGATTTTATTCATTTATTTTATTTGACAGACAGAGATGACAAGTAGGCAGTGAGGCAGGCAGAGAGAGAGAGAGAGAGGAGGAAATAGGCTCCCTGGTGAGCAGAGAGCCCGATGCGGGACTCGATCCTAGGACCCTGAGATCATGACCTGAGCCAAAAGCAGAGGCTTTAACCCACTGAGCCCCCAGGCGCCCCCTTTACTTTGTTCTTGATTGACAGCCAGCAGATGGCATTCTGTCACCAGCATCCTCCCTGCCTACAAAGATGACATTATTACCCTTCCTCATCATTTGGTTTATTACAGTATGAAACCACCTCTGTGCCAGTAATAATATATGCACTTTTTTACCGACCAGTCACTCTAGAAACATACATTTTGAAGAGACTGTGTGTGAATGGTGGTAGGCTTATATTGAATTATCACACTTACTGCTCAGTGCAAAGAAATTCTAAGTAGGATGATAAAACTTTGTGGAAAAGACTTGTGGGTGTTTTGAGATACAAGTTTTAGACTTGTTCACACATAATGTGTAAAGCACTCTCTGGCCAGGGTTATTTGGAGAAAATTCACTGGCCCCCCAACTCTGAGAACGGTGTATACTGGCTGTTTTCAGGAGTAGGTCACTTAGAACGATAATGTCTTTTTATATGACGTAGCAAAAGAAAAACCAGGGAAATGTAATACTTTCTAAAGCATAAGGGACTTTTTTTCACCTATACTTTCCCTGACATGTCTTTTTATTACATCCATCTTTGACATTGAGTGATCCCTAGAGCAGAATCATCTCTGATGTTTGTATATTATATATATGCATATATATACACACATACATATTAATGTTCTTGGTAAGTGTCTTTTTTTTTTCTTTTTTTTTTTTTTAGCAAATCTGGTAATGGAATTATCTTCTCTGGTGATCCCATGGTTCAGTTTATAAAGCAAAAAAAGGAAAATAATGATCTAGAAAATGGAAAGAGGGGGGCACCTGGGTGGCTCAGTGGGTTAAGCCTCTCTGCCTATGGCTCGGGTCATGATCTCAGGGTCTGGGGATCGAGCCCCTCATCGGGCTCTCTGCTTAACAGGGAGCCTGCTTCCCTCCCACCCCAGCCTGCTTCTCTGCCTACTTGTGAGCTCTGTCTGTCAAATAAATAAATAAAATCTAAAAAAAAAAAAGAAAAAAAAAAGGGAAGAGTAAGATATATTGAAAACTTCTCAGTGCCTTATGGCCTCTGGACATACAGATCTGACAGATAAGCTGTATAGCAAGTAGCCCCCTGCCTACTCAGTGAAAGCCTGAATAGAGAGCAGTAGAATGTCCAGTAAAGATAAAATTTTAGACCAGTCATCAAGTTATAGGAATAAACAATAAGATCAGACTCCTTTGTGGGATGAATATACCTTCTTTATATTCATCCCACAAAGGAGTCTGATCTTGCAATTTGGTTAATTGGCCATCACAGTCTGTTAAACGTTGTAGTTATGATCCTGTTGACCTTTTTGTTTCGGACATGTCTTACATGTGTCTTCACAGTGTCATTAACGTGTTGTTTCTTTTCCCGCAAGAGAGAGATTCAGAAACTCTATGAAAACAAGTCATTCCTTTTCCTGGGCTGTGGCTGGACTGTGGATGACACCACTTTCCAAGCCCTTTTTCTGGAAGCTGTGAAGCATAAATCTGACTTAGAACATTTCATGCTCGTTCGGAGAGGAGATGTGGATGAGTTCAAGAAGCTTCGAGAAAACATGCTGGACAAAGGAATTAAGGTCATCTCCTATGGAAATGAATATGCTGATCTCCCAGAATATTTCAAGCGGCTGACATGTGAGATATCCACAAGGGGTAGATCAGGTAAGGTGAATTTTGAGACTGAGAGCAATAGCTCTTTGACCTTTTATGTATCTGTGATGAGTAAAATCATTACCAACGTAAGAAATATAATTCCACCTGTATTAGGAAAGGAGATCATGGTCAGTCTTCAAATTAGACTAAAATGCCATTGGAGAGTAAGAAAGTGGACAAAGACATATTCCAGCTGTTTATTATAGAAGTAGGAAGAATGAAAAAATACTCAACCTCACTAGTTCTCAGTAAAATGCAATTAAAATACAGATTTCAAAACTGAAAAGAAGGACAAATTACTCAGTTTTGGCTAAAGCTGTGAGGAAAGAAATATATTCACGTCGTGTTGATGGGAAGGTAAAGTTTGTACAGCTCTTCTGAAGGGGAAGTTTGGAATATGTTCAAAATTTAAAAACCTTTGATCTAGAAATCCCACTTGATACAAATTTATCTTAGAAATTTCTCCTAAGGAGGGGTGCCTGGGTGGCTCAGTGGGTTAAAGCCTCTGCTTTCGGCTCAGGTCATGATCCCAGGGTCCTGGGATCGAGCCCCGCGTCGGGCTCTCTGCTCAGCGGGGAGCCTGCTTCCTCCTCTCTCTCTGCCTGCTTCTCTGCCTACTTGTGATCTCGGTCTGTCAAATAAATAAATAAAATCTTTTAAAAAAAAAAAAAGAAAAAAAGAAATTTCTCCTAAGGAGATAATTGGACAATTGCACAATTATACTACACAATTGTATAGAGATAAAGGTATGGAAATAAAATCATTTTTTTTATAATGGCAAAAAAAAGTTGGAAGCAACCTAAAATACTCCAGTTAATAGACTTTATTAAATACATCAGCATTTGGGGGCGCCTGGGTGGCTCAGTGGGTTAAAGCCTCTGCTTTGGGCTCAGGTCATGATCCCAGGGTCCTGGGATTGAGCCCCGTGTCGGGCTCTCTGCTCAGCAGGGAGCCTTCTTCCTCCTCTCTCTCTCTGCCTGCTTCTCTGCCTACTTGTGATCTCTGTCTGTCAAAAGAATAAATAAAATCTTTAAAAAAAAAAATACATCAGCATTTGCGTAATTGATGGAACACAGTGAAGCCATAAGAGGGAAAATTTTGTTGCCTGAAAAAACATTAGAGACATAATATATGAGTAAAGAACACCAGGTTGTAAAACGCCACCACGGTCCATCCCATTCCTACAGAATTGTAGATGTATTCTGTTTTTGTTTCTGTATGCATGGGGAAGTATCTGGAGTGATGTTTACTGAATTAACTGTGGTTATCTTTCTGTGGTAGGATGTAAGTTTTGTTTTTCTTAGTATTTTGTTTCTGTGTTAGCGTTTCTGGCAGTAATTGTGCATTATCTTTACAAACAGAACACATTTTTTAAAAAATACTATTTGAACACTATTACGGTATTTAAGATAGAGTCTAGGGGTACACTCATTTGTCATTTTACCTCCAGGTTCTAACAAAGCCAAATGGATATAGAAGTTCAGTTTATTAGTGGCCCCAGGCAAGTTCCCAGTAACCCTAAAAAAGGCCAAACTTTTTGGTATCTGCTAAATTGAAGAATGCTTTTTAAAACTTTGCTGTTGTATGTGGTATATATTCTTGAAAAGTTCTATGTTGATATGTATTTGCATTGTCGATCCGGATGCATCTTAGGGGGCCTAATAAAGTACAGTAGTTTAATATAGAGAGAACTTTTCCTAAACCTAGTATTATTCCTTGATTTCTTTTCTGAATCAGATTTTTTTTTAAGATTTTATTTATTTATTTGACAGAGATCACAAGTAGGCAGAGAGGCAGGCAGAGAGAGAGAGTGTGAGGAGGAAGCAGGCTCCCCGCTGAGCAGAGAGCCCCATGCGGGGCTCGATCCCAGAACCCTGAGATCATGACCTGAGCCGAAGGCAGAGGCTTTAACCCACTGAGCCACCCAGGCGCCCCGTGAATCAGATTTTTTAAGTGGACTTCTACTGTAATGAGAAATTCCAAAGCCCTTATTATCAGCGGCTATCCATCAGAATGGAACCAGATTTGTAAAAGACATCACCACAAATGAACACTAAAAATTGTGTCAACCCTTCCTCCAGAAGACTTCAGAAAACCTCTTTTTTACTGTTTTTAATTCCAGTTAGTTAACGTACAGTGTTAAATTAGTTTCAGATGCACAATATAGCAATTCAGCACTTCCGTCCATCACCCAGTGCTCATCACACATGCCCTCCTTAATCCCCATCACCTGTTTCACACATCCCCTCACCCACCTCCCCTCTGGTAACCACCAGTTGGTTCTCTGTAGTTAAGATCTGTTTCTTGATTTGTCTCTTTACCCCCCTTTGCTCATTTGTTTGGTTTCTTAAAATTACACGTGAGTGAGATCATATGGTGTTTGTCCTTCTCTGACTTATCTTGCTTCACATTTTACTCTCTAGCTCCATCCACGTCATTGCAAATGGCAAGATTTCATTCTTTTTAATTGGCTGCTTCCATATCTTGGCTGTTGTAAATAATGCTGTTCTAAGTATAGGAGTGCATGTGTCCCTTTGAATTAGTGTTCTTGTATTCTTTGGGTAAATACCCAGTAGTCTGATTGCTGGATCATAAGGTAGTTCTGTTTTTAACTTTTTGAGGAACCTCCATACTGTTCTCCAGAGTGGCTGCACCAGCTGCATTCCCAGCAACAGTGCATGAGGGTATCTTTTTCTCCACATCCTCACTAACAATTGTTGTTTCTTACGTTGTTGATTTTAGCCGTTCTGACAGGTGTGAGGTGATATTGTAGTTGTGATTTGCACTTTGCTGATGGCAAGTGATGAAGAACATCTTTTTGTGTATCTGTTGGCCATCCGTATGTCTTTGGAGAAATATCTGTTCATGTCTTCTGCCCATTTTTTAATTGGACTCTTTGTTTTTTGGGTATTGAGTTTGCTAAGTTCTTTATGTATTTTGGATACTAACCCTTTATCAGGTATGTCATTTGCAAATATCTTCTCCCATTCAGTAGGTTGCCTTTCAGTTTTGCTGATTGTTTCTTTTACTGTGCAGAAGTCTTTTTTTTTTTTTTAAGATTTTATTTATTTGACAGCACAAACAGGAGGAGGGGCAGGTGGAGGGAGAAGCAGAGGGAGATGCTGGCAGAGGGAGCAGCAGACACCCCACTGAGCGGGGAGTGCAATAAGGGGTTTGATCCCAGGACCCTTGGATCATTACCTGAGCTGAAGGCATCTGCTTAAGCAACTGAGCCACCCAGGCGTCCCATGCAGAAGCCTTTTATTTTGATGTAGTCCCAGTATCTTATTTTTGCTTTTGTTTTCCTTGCCTCAGGAGAGCTATCTAGAAAAAAGCTGTTACAGCTGATGTCGAAAAGGTTACTGCCTATGTTCTTCTCTAGTATTTTTATGGTTTTTAGAAAACACTTTCAAAAGACAAACCTTTGGGTTTGTCTCTTTTATGAAAATAATTTTCTCTTCTTAGGGATGCGTTTTCTGCTGGCCTGCAGTGTTTCAGATTCTTCTGCTGCTGGCCCACACTTAGGACTTTGAGTCGGCTTTTCCATTGTGCATTTTCTATTGTCATTAAACAAGAGGTACCTACCAAGCTCTACATATTTCTTTTGATCTGCATTCTGAGATCTTCTGCCCAGGAAAGATGCTAAAATTAAAAACAATAATAAAACCCCCCCTGGACAGCTGTTCTTATTAAACGAAATCTTCTCTCGACAAAAATTATCAGAAGTATTATAGAGGGGCACCTAAGTGTGTCTGCTTTTGGCTCAGGTCATGACCCTAGGGTCCTGGGGTTGAGCCCTGCATCGGGCTTCCTGTTCAGTGGGGAGCCTGCTTCCTCATCTCCCTCTGCCTGCCACTCCCCCTGCTCCTGCTCTCTCTCTCTCTCTCTCTCTCAAATAAACAGAATCTTTATTTAAAAAAAAAAGGTATTAAAGAATGTCACAGATTCTTTTATTAGCTCTCTGGTCTTCCTCCCAAAGTGGTTTTTCCCAGATTCCTCTATCTTTTAGTTGAATATTCTGAACTTCTAAAAATGAAGGATTTTCAGTATGGTCAGGGGGCTTTAGTAGAGTGGTCAGCTGAGTTTGTGATTTGAAATCTAGCAGAGCGGTTTTAGGTTAAAAACATATAACAACAAGTCAAGCTTATCCTCCATCCTTGATTATGATTTGAGTCTCTGTGGGTACCTACTAGTAAGCGGTAAGAGGTCTTTTGTTGTTGTTTAACACTGAACATTTGCTAGGCTCCTGACATACTTGCTGTGTACTTGCTTTTGCATAGTGAAAGTTGCTTGGATTCAAAAGATTCTGTAGGTTCTAGTATATTTATTTCAGAAAAATCAAGTAATGGGAAAAGGAAAAAATTTTATAATTCATTATTGTAATACAAGCAGTTATTTTGGTGTATTTCCAATTAACAATTTTTCCTGTGCATTTTTTCATTATTGTGAACCAAAGTATACATAGTCATGTTACTGTTTTTATTCAGTGATCTAGTCTCCTATATTTTTCTGTATGGCTGGTTTGATAACCACTAGTGTTAATGACTGTGTTATAATCCAATGTGGATGACGGGGTGCCTCATCCACTGTGGCTGAGTGGGTTAAAGCCTCTGCCTTTGGCTCAGGGTCCTGGGATCAAGCCCTGCATCAGGGAGCCTGCTTCCTCCTCTCTCTGCCTGCCTCTCTGCCTACTTGTGATCTCTGTCTGTCAAATAAATAAATAAAATCTTTAAAAAAGAAATTATAGCATTATCACTTTAAAAAAAAATCCAATGTGGATGTTAGCTTACCCAGTTTTTCCCGTTAGGCAGTTTCTAATTTTGTTCTAGTTTATTCTGTTGTAAGTACTGTTGGCAATGAATTACATCTGCATCCCTACAGTTTCTCCTTTTGCCAGTAATTTCATTCAGATGGGTTCTCAGTATAATTTTACTAGGTCAGAGGGCAAGAATATTTTAGTGGTTGATAGCTGTTGCTAAAGTTCTTTCCAAGAGGGGGAATACCAGTACCAGTTTGTAGGAGTACTGTGCTTTTATTCATTTAGACTCTAATTGCTCATATTTCTGATGACTATTTTCTTCCACGTGTTTAGTTTTAAACTTTTTCCTATGCTATTTTCTATCCCAGGGCTGTCCAATAGAATTTTCTGCAGTGATAGAAATATTATCTTCCCTGTCCAGTACCATAACCAAATGCCCATGTGGCTTTTGGGCATTGAAATGTGGTTTGCGTGGCTGAGGAACAAAGGTTTTAATGTAAAACTATTGAGCCACATGTGGCTCACGACACCATATTGGGCAGCACAGGTTGAAACTGATTTTGTGTTGTGAGAGCATCTGCTACTTTTCACTCTTCTCCTTGGTTGAATTTGCTCACTTGCATGCTGCTCCGCGTCTCCATCCCTAGATTTTTACCTAAATTTGGCCTTCTAAATGAGTTAGGGACAGCAGACGCACTCTTGCCCATTTAATGCTTTATTTGCACTGTTAGTGCACTCGCAGACCTTACTGCTTCCCTCTTACCTAAAGACTAACCCAGTTCATTCTCCCCACCTCCTTATCCTCTTGTCTGTGATGTCCTCATTACTAAATAATGCCATCCTTCTTCGACCATGTTATTTCATTACCCTTTGGTGGGTTGGTTTTCTTCGTATTAGGAGTTTTGACTTCCCGGTCTAATATCGGATACTGATCTGCGTTTTGTTCGGCAGGGATGGTGAGAGAAGGTCAGCTGAATGGCTCCTCGGCGGCGCACAGTGAAATAAGAGGTACCCTATTTCCTATTCTATTTGTCAGCTTCATAGGCAGAAAATGTTTTTCTAGGATTTGTTTAGTAGCTTGGAGAGCAAGGACTTCCACCTGTTAAGGATTCTGTATTTTCCTGTGGAGTCTATCACAAGATTCCTAGTATCTGTGATGTTTTGTCTCCTGAAGGGTTAAGTTGGACTTAGTATCTGCAGCTTTGGACATATACTGTTTCATGAGACTTCATTTAATTCTCTTTCTCTCCACAGACTGTAGAACATGAGAGGGGGCTGGAGAGATCATCAGCATTAGACCAAGGTGTCAGGCCCGACTGTGGAGAGTATTTAACAAGTAAACTTATAAGAACCCAGCACAGCTCCATGGAAGTACCAAAACCCAGAGGTTGAAGGTTGGGGGTAGAGTTGGGGGTTGGGGGGGTGCTCCAGCTCAGTCCTTCATGCCCACTGGTTCTTGATCTTCTGCGGCCTCTTCCAGTTCACGAATCCCCAAGTGACAACGGGGCCCAGTGCAGCCTCCCCCCACCCCTGCGCTGGACATGCCTGTGTCCACACAGCAGATCAGTTCGACACCTCCACTGACTGTGGCTCCAGCCCTGCATGAAGGACTTGGGAGCTAGACGCCGTGGGGTCACCGTGGCCCTTGTTGCAGTTTTGTACTCTATACCTGGTTTTTCAATTAAGCTTAATGGCTTTTTTAAAACATGACTTGAAGCTCTAGTTTTCTAGATCTTTTACAGTGTACAGTATTTTACATAACTGAGCTGTATTAAAAGCTTGTTCATTTACTTCCCAGGGCCCTGGCTCTACTTTTAGAGTCCCTTTAGAAAACCTGCAAAGGCACTAAATGAGCCTACTTTTTGTAACTTAATTTAAGGGTTGTGTTCTTTCACATTGAAGTGGGTGATCTCATTCTCTCGACAACCATTCGTTATCAATTCCCGCTCTGTTTCCCTTCTTACCTTGAGGCCTAGAAGCAGTGTGATGTGGGATCTTAGTTTTGAATCCTGTATAAAATAACTCCGAGACATAAAAGGCAATTTACTTATGAAATTTATTTTCTTATATAAATTATGTATTTCTCTGGGCAGACAGCCTTCACCTTATTGCACTAATAGCACATCTGTAATACCAAGCTACAGGACAAGTCTTAACAAGAGGTTTGTATTCTTCAACGTAGCACTTGTCTACCAGGCACTGTAGAGAGGATGAGGAAGAAAAGCCAGGATCCGCTCAGGTGAAGAGTGGGGTGGGGGAGAGGGGCAACTTGTATACCCTTCTGACAGTTGGTTCTCTCCCAGGAAGGGGAACATGCAAAGCTTACATCTGGATTCTGGGAGCAGGGAAGAGTTGGAAGGCTGAGAAGCCCAATGCAACACTGCAGCTCAGCTCCCTTTATTTTTGAGGGAAGCAGGAACTCCTTTCGTTCATTTTGTAACAAATCACTCTGGCCTAGCTGATGCCTTGAGGAAACAGTGGGGATGGGGTCATCATCAGAATTAGCAGCAATTAAGAACAGGCCATACACTGCCACAGTGTGGTGGGTACCATCGGCCCCAGGGACCCGAAAGCTATGTATCCAAGGCAGAACCCAGAGCTGGCCCCAGAAGTCTCTCGACTGCTCCTTGTGCTCAGACATCCCTGTGACTGTGTCAGTTAGCAAAGCTCTGGTGTTGGGTCTTCCAACCGTTGCTCAAAGCTGTAATGAGACTGAGTGGGTAGGCAGAGTGAAGGGAATGCCTGAGTAGGTGGGAAGGGCCGTCAGGGAAGGGAGCGATGGGCAGTGGACTATAACATGATTAGGCCCTCCCTGCAGGTGGAGGCTGGGCTGCCAGCCCCTAGGGCTCCCATCACTCTGCCTCTGTACTACACTGAAGAGAAGTCGCTCACAGACTCTAAAGCACATTCTTGTTATAGGAAGAGGGGCTTTGGGGGGAAGCAGTGATTTGGTTTGGGGCAGGAGACATATTAAGCCTTCATGAGGGCAGCCACCACAGCCTTGGCATTGAGACTGCGTAGGTCACAGTAGGTCTGGCCAGTGCCCACAAAGACGATGGGTTTGCTTGTGATGTAGGTCATAGAAATAGCAGCTCCCACCTGAAGTGGAGAAAGGGGACACACAATCACCTCAAGGCCACTTTTTCCTATCCCTTCTGTAACAGGAAGCTTTGGAGGCAACAGCATATCCTTAGAGCATCAGCTCCCCGTGAAGGACACCCCTCCCCATCTTGCCGTCCCGTACCATCCATATAGTTACCTTGTCATCAATGGTATCAAATTTGGTAAGGACAATGCCATCAATGAGCCGAGGTGTTTGAGCCATAGAATGGTCAGCCAAGGCTCTGTTGAACTTGACCTTGTAAGGGAGAAACAAGGGGTAAGTACAAGAAGCACCCAGCAGGCCAAAGCTGAGGCTGGGAGAAGGACTAGACCCTAGCCCTCACCAGCTGGTCCACAGCCTCATTGCCTACTAAGGCCTCCCCCACAAACAGCACCAAGTCAGGCGTGTTGACAGTAATGAGCTTAGCCAGGGCAGTCATCAGAGGGGCGTTGTCCTGCATGCGGCCAGCTGTGTCCACCAGCACCACATCAAAGCCTTGGTTACGTGCTAGAGAGAAAAAAAGTGGTCAACTCAAAACTTCTAGGCTGTCCTGCTCATCCTACCTTTCTCTCAAGAAGTGGTAACCTGGCTATATTAAAAGTGTAGATGTTTGCTTTCTTGGGCTCCAGATCTGGTCATAAGGTATTGTGAGCAAAAACCTATTCTGTGCTTGGCCATCAGAAACATTCAAGGAAATATATGGCAACAGGATAAAGGAAACCAAATAGAGGCTTCCTTGGGTGGAAGAGATTAGTTTTGCCCACAGTTAGCTACTCCATATAGCAAGTTCACTGCCCTGACTTGCTGCTGAGCAATAAGTTGGTAGGAGGGGATCCCAGACCCTCTGCGGATCACAAGGGAAGCCCATGAAAGGGGCCCACAGCAGCCCCCCACCCTCCTGTGTACCATACCAAAGGCAATCGCTTCCATGGCGATGCCCGCAGCATCCTTGCCGTAGCCCTTTTCAAACAACTGCACCATAGTGCGGCCACCATGCTTCTCCGGGGGGTGCAGGGCACTCAGGCGCCGGGTGTGTGTGCGCAGCTGCTCCACAGCCCCGGCACGAAATGTGTCACAGGCAGCAATGAGGACACTGAAGCCATTCTCTAACAGCCAGAAGGAAATCTGGGCAAAAGCAGCAAAGAAATCAGTGCCCTAGAACCAGAGTCACTAAGACCTGGAGTGTGAAGAAAGGATGTCTGAGACGGGTGGGGGGCTGTACTGACCTTGGCAAGATTAGTAGACTTCCCCACTCCATTAACGCCACAGAAGGTGACAACATAAGGGCGCTGATGACGCTGGGCATCCATAATATCCCGGAGCATGTCTACACGACGCTGTGGCTGCAGAATCTGCACCAGGGACTCTTGGAGGGCTTGCTTTACTGTGGACGTCACCGCTAGAAGGGGGTGGTGGGTCTGTGAAACCCAAGGAATGTACTCGCGGGAACCCCCTGCACCCCAAGAAACTGAGATCTGGAGAACCCAAGGCTGTTGTCCCAGGAATCCGCACCACATGTCACAGCATTCCAAGCACTGTACGAGTGTTAACTCCTTTAGTTCTCAGAACTCTTCAGGTCTAAGTTACGCAACAGACACTTAGGGGGGAAGGAGTTTGCCACAAGCCACACACCTAGTATGAATGGAGGTCAACGCGCTGAACTGGCTGGTGCACACAATGCCTTGAGCGCTTCCTGGTTTAGAGAGATACTTACTGCTGAATGTCCCCATCACCTTCCCTTCCAGCTTGTTGGCCACAGATTCACAGAGCTGGACTGCAATGTCTGCTGCCACATTCTTAGCTAGAGAGACAGGGACAGACGTGTGAGTGCCAAGTCAACAGTAAACAACCCTATGGTACAGAAGAGAACTTGGGGTGGTTCCCCTCTCCACCACCTGTCCCATAACCATGAGTCCCCGTTCTCAGAACTTACCAATGAGATGATCACGCATCTTATCCAGCACGGACTCCATGTCTTCACGACTCAAGCTCTTGGACCCCACAAGGCCCTTCAGCATCCCAAACATGCCACCCAGAGTTCCCTTGGTAGCACTGTAGGCACAGATTATAGATACATATGACGCCAGGGGGCAGGAGTCAAGCCTCATCTGTCCTGGAGCCACCCGTAGCACCCACCTCCTGAAATTCCCCTACCTGGGTTTGGTGGTGTTTTGAGCGGCCACTTCATCATCTGAGCTGCTGCAGTCCAGATCCTGAAGCTGCCCCCCAGGCCCAGTCCCTCGAATCTGGAGGGTAGAGGGAAAGGAACAAGATGGGATCAGGAACACTGAGGGCTGAGGGAAAAGAAGCCTGGGATTTACCATGTCCCCATTCCTCCATCTCTGATTTGGAAAACTCTAGATGGGACCCATCCCTTCATTCATAGAAACCAAAGGTACTGCCCTCCCTAGTCTCTACCTTCTCCCTAACTTCTTATTAATGGTAACCCACACTGGCCCATGCCTCTTACCAAGCTGATGTCCTCAGGTGGGGCATCCTCAGGGGCTCCGTTGGTGGTGGGAGTGCTATAATCCAGGATTTCCTTGTTAGCACAGCCACCCAGCGCCCACACGCGGGGTGCTTTTTTGCCCTTCTCCTTTGGAGCATCGGATTTCATGGACTTGCTGTAAAGGGTTACGCACAAAGGGTTACGGTGAAGTAGGAGAGGGATCATCCACCCAAGAGCCAGAGACGAGCTCCCCTGCCCCCAACATAGCTAGGTAACAGTATTTATGATGAAATTTAGAATGCTGACCTGGACTTCTCCAGACCTCTCCCATGCTTCTGAATGAACTCCTCTCGCTTCCTGCGTATTAGCTCTTCTTTGGAAAGTTTGACCCCATTCTCAGGCCCCACTGCGAGACCTGACTTTTCGGCAGGAACTGCTTTGCTGGTAGCCAAAGGGCCATCAGAACCTGTTAGGAGAAAACTCACTGGAGAAAAACGACCAAATTCCAACAAATGGGAGATAGTCTTCCAAACCCCAATTACTATTACCCAAATTATTAAGAGGAAACTAGGAGCAAACATCTTGGGGATGACAAGGACTGGGGATGACAGTGTGATGGGCACTGAGCAAGGGAGACAAGCGATGACAAAGGGAAAGACGGGGAACAACTTCAGTCCTTACTGCCATGTTAACTTTTCATGCCCCTGTATGTCCAAGGAGCTCAAACTCACTCTCCTTCTTGGCCCCCTTTTTTTTGCTGTTCTTTGCTTTTTCCTTGGGCTTTTCACCCCGTGTCTCAATCATGGACCTCACAGGTTTCTTGGCTTTTTCAGAATCTTCAAATTTCTTCATGGTAGTGGGAGCACGGATCTTACTGCTCTCCTCTGCTTCACTAGAGAGAAGAGAGTGATCAAAGTCCAGAAAAAGGACCCTCACACCAAGAGGTCAATTAGAACTGGGCAACAAATTCAAGAGTGTGTTTCAATGCTATTTACTACCCTTGAACCACCCTCAGGAAAGAAGGGAGCTCATCAGGTCATGAAAATCAATTCTGCAGAGGGGTGGCCTCTCACCGAAGGAGCCGCAGGAAGTCATTTTGGAAATCAAAAGTGCCATTCAATAGACTTAAAGCACTTCGCTGCTGGATCTCTGTACGATATTTGTCCCGAAACAGCCGGTGCACATCATCTATCAATTTGTCTACATACGTCAGTGTTAGGATCTTCTGAAAACCAACCTGTTCAGGGAGAGAAACAGAGCCAACAGATCTGCTTAAAAGCCAACTCAACGCAGGCCTCCTGAGACTGGCTCAGTGGCCTGGCAGGTTTCCCTGACCTGAGGGGCAGCCAAGCTCCCTGACTGAGCTCAGGAACGTCTTCCCTTTCCCTCTCCGCCTTCTGTCTTCTCAGTTACTTCATCATATACACTGGGTACAATTAATTAGGGTTCTCAGTAATTAGGATTATGCTGAAAATGTAAATACTGTCCCTCTTAAATACCCGACTTACCACAAACACCAGCTCAAACTGGTTGTCCAGTTTATACTTCAGTGTGAGTGCCTCATGGGTGAAGGAGTTGTTACCTCCCCTTTCCTGGGGAAAAAAAGGGGAGGGTGTATGTCTCAAGTTCCGACTACCCAGAAAACCCAGACTTGGACCCTAGGAGGATTACCTTTGGGGAAAAAAAACAGACCCTTCCCCCAAAGTCAGACCTGTTCCCAGGGCAAGAGGCTGTTGGGACCTTGCTCTCTAGCATCCCATCAGGCAGAGAAGGAGGTACCAAGTTTGGGGGAAGAGGAAAAGAGGTTAGTGGGAAGGCAAGAAGGGACTTAATGATACAATCTGATTTACTAGCAGCTGTACACTATTTACAGTTTTTAATTTTTCCATTATCACACCCAGCCTTCGAAACAGAAAAGCAAGCTGCGGGGCGGGGTGTGTGTGTGGGGGGGGGTGTAAATGGAAGGAACTATGGGAAATCTCAAAAAGCGCCGCAATTCGGCTAGAGTCCCAGAAACGGAGGGGAGGGGGGCGTCGCAAAGTTGCGGGATGGTCCGATGGGGGCGGAAGAAAGAAGCGGAGTACTGGCAACGAGTGAGCGGCCAGTCCGGGATAGCCGGGGAAAGGTGGGAGGGAGGTGTGAGATCAGTTGAAGGGGCTATGGACCGGGTCAGTGGGCCGAGCCGAGTTCTGATCCCGCGGGGAGCGATACCTGCAGCAGCACAGAACGAATCAACGCATTAACGGGCCCGGTGCATGAGTCGCTCACTCCCTGGAAGCACCAGAGCACAAGCCCGCCCTTGGAGAAAATGGTGAAGAAGTCGAGCATGGCGGCAGCGGGAGAGGAGCCGGGGCCGGCACCGGGAACTCAGGCCGCGATCGCCGCCGCTTCCTGCTGCGCCAAGCGCGGGACACGTCACACCAGCGGCCCCGGAAACCGGCTCAGCCGCACTTCCGCTCAGAGGCGTCGCGTTCTCTCTCCGCCTCCGCTCGAGGGCGCGCAGCACTGTCGTAGACACCGTACTCGCCAATGGCGGGTGGGGGCGGGCCTGGGCGGGGTTATCGGAGACGGCAGCCTATAGTGCTTAGGGGCGGGGCCCGAAAGGGCCGCTGGCCAATGGGCGCGCTCGTCTGAACGGCCTTCGGCGTGGGGCAGTGACCCGGGGGTAGGTGCGGCGTAGGGAGGAGGGGCGGTCCGAGTCTCAAAGGTGCCGCGCGTAAAGTGGCCATGCTGCGAAGGTCGTTGCAGTTAGCCTTGGCGCGGGACGTCTTGGGCCGGGGGCTAGGCACACACAGAGGAGGCTCCACTCTGGGTAAAGTTGAGGGCAGCGGAGGGTATCGTGGTTCTTGGGTAGCCCCAGTCTCCAGCTTTGTGACCTTCAAAACTCGGGACCCGGGCCACGATGTAAAGACAGTCGGTCGGCTGGGAGAAAGGGGTAAGCTTGCTAGCCGGATCTTTTAAAGCCTGAGCAGATACATGGATCCCAAGGATGCCCTTCTCAGGTGACAAATCGTTCTAAGCCTCAAATTACCACCAGAATAGCAGAGAGCCAGGCTGACTGACTGGTTGCGCAGATAGATGTGCAGCTAGCCTGCAGATGCTGTGCTTAGTATGTGGCTGTTAAGGAGGAAAGAAGGGAAAGAGGATAGAGCATATGTCCCATGGAGGTGGCTGGAGTGTACCTGGAAAGGGAAGACTTCCACATACCGGTTCGAGACTGGATAGAACCCAACTCGGACAAATGCTCTGCACTGGTAGTGGGAACAGAGATCAGCCTTGAAGGATACTGTTTACTGATTCAAGGACGGTGTGTGTTCCAAGTTCTGGAGAACCGAGCAAACGTTAGGAGAAGTCTTGGTTTGGTGCAAGGAACTAGCAAAAGCCATGTAGATGGAGCGTTTGTGTAGCAATAGGAAATGTAGTGTGGACAAGGAAGGTAAGCGCAGATCAAGGAGATACTTGAACATTGCTGAGCAGAGTTTAGACTTTGTATTGGAGTCTGTGAAAAGACGTGGAGATTTGCGAGTTACAAATCTTGTGAAGGACAAAAGGATTCATTTATTCAAGGCACTTACACGATGTGCCAGGTTCAGTGCTAGGCTGGAGATATATTGCTGAAGAAAGCAGGCATGGTATAGTATGAAACAATCACAAATAAATTCAAAATTGCGAATGTCTTGCATGAGGTAATGTGACAGCGTGACCGGAGATTTTGATAGTATATGGGGTCAGGAAAGCCTTTCCTGAGAAGATAACTAAACTGAAAAGGAAAGGAAGCAAGGTGTTAACGGCAAAGAAGTGGACAGAGTTTCAAAACAGAAGAACCCCTGTGTAGGTTCCCCATGATGGGAAGAAATAAAGCACCACCAAGGTGTGGAAGGGGCTGGAGTGGGAGAGTAGGGAGAGAACAAGGAAAACAGGAGTCAGACTGTTCAGTGGCTTTTCGGCCGTGTTGAAGATTTTGGACTTCTATTTTTGGAGTAATGAAAAGCCACTGGAAGGTTTTAAGCAAGACAGTATGTGATTAAATTAGTGCTTGGGAAATATTCTAGCTATGATGCAGAAGAATTGAGTAGGCAAGAGGGGAATTAGTGGAAACAATTAGGAGGCTTTTCATTAATCTAGGCGAGAGCTTATGGTGGTTTGGTCTAGGGTGGGGTAGCAGAGATGGGAAAAGAGACAGGACATATTGGGGAGATATTTAGGAGGCAAAGCCATCAGGACTTGACAATAGATAGGACATGAATGTAGCTTTGCTAGTGGTGATGGATGTCCAGGATAAGATGCCACTCAGAGTATCATGCTTCAGAGGGCACTGCAGCTTGGGGTGTGTCAGGACCTATGGGTCCAGGAGTCTGGAACATCCAAGAGGAGAGGACAGTGCAGTTGAACACAGGAGCCTGGGGCTCAGAGGAAAGAGCAGTGTGCACAGGCGCTGGACATGCATAAGTCACCTGGCCTAGGGAGAGAGGACAGAGTGTGCATTTTAAGAAGTTGAATCTCGCATTGCTGGGCATGATGCATGAGAAGGCAGAGAGCCGAATGCATACAGACTATATAGTGAACCTACAGATACTGCTGGGTGTGAGCTGACCTTATGGAAGGCATGGCCATGGGGACAGCCAGCTCAGTGACCCGTTAGCCACCTTTTCCTGCGCCGAGCCTCCAACCCCTTACCACCAGGAAAGAGAATGAATGGCCTTCTCACCATAACTGCGTCCCACAGACTGGAATGGAAAGATGTCCGAGATTAAGAAGAAGATCCAGTCATTCCTTCCCGGAGGAGCCTGGACTCAACTCCACGACACCAGCTACCTGCCCCCCGAACACTCGGATGTGGTGATTGTGGGGGGTGGGGTGATGGGCCTGTCCGTGGCCTACTGGCTGAAGAGGCTGGAGAAGCCACGAGGTGCCATTCGGGTGCTGGTGGTGGAACGGGACCACACGGTGAGGTCTGGGGGAGGGCGGCGGCATGAGTGGGGCACGGACTTGTTGTATTAAGGGGCAAGGGGGGCTGAGGGGAGGAAAGACTTCAGTCTTCAGAGGTCCAAGGTCCCAAAGGACTATACTTTGGTTCTTGTTGAGAAATCGTCCCAGTGATTCCTCCCTCAAATTAGAGACTTTGGTAGTAAGGTTTTTGCTTTTAAAAGCAAATTTTACATGGATGGAACTAGAGGGTATTATGCTGAGTGAAATAAGTCAATCAGAGAAAGACAATTATCACATGATCTCTTTGATATGAGGAATTTGAGAGGCAGGATGGAGGGTTATTGGAGGGGTAGGGAATGAAAAAATGAAACAAGTTGGAATCAAGAGGGAGACACACCATAAGAGAATCTTAATCTCACAAAACAAACTGAAGGTTTTCGGGGGGAGGTTGGGTTATGGACACTGGGGAGGTATGTGCTACGGTGAGTGCTGTGAATTATGTAAGCCTGATTATTCACAGACCTGTAACCCTGGGGCAAATAATACATTATATGTTAGTAAAAATTATAAAAATAAAAATAAAATTCAGGTTCCAATTCATTAAAAAAAAAGAAGAAGAAAAAGCAAATTTTAAAACAGGGGATCTTCTGGGTGCCCACAGGTCTGACTAAGGGAGACTGTATTCCAGCTATAACGAATACAAACAGCCATCTCATCTCTCCTAGGTTCTATTACTTCCTTCTTTTTTTTTTTTAAGATTTTATTTATTTATTTATTTATTTGACAGAGAGAGAGAGAGAGAGAGAGGGCTCACAAGTAGGCAGAGAGGCAGGCAAAAAGAGGGGGAAGCAGGCTCCCCGCCGAGCGATGTGGGGCTCGATCCCAGGACCCTGAGACCATAACCTGAGCTGAAGGTGGAGGCTTAACCCACTGAGCCACCTAGACACCCCAAGGTTCTATTAGTTCTGAGGCTTTGCACAGTTGTTCTATTTTATTTTCTAAGATTTTATTCATTTATTTGAGAGAGGGAGACAGGACAAGGGCGGGGAGGGGCAGTAGGAGAGGGAGAAGGGAGAAACAGACTCCCCACAGAGCTGGGAGACCAATGTGGGGTCGGTCCCAGGACCCTGGGTCATGACCTGAGCTGAAGGCAGTTGCCTAACCAACTGAGCCACCCAGGCACCCCTCGTTGTTCCTGTTTTAGCCACAGCCAGTTAACCACAAATCTTGCTAGTTCAGTCATATTCTTCTATTTTCCAATAGGCAGATGAAATGCTAATCTCCTGCCCTTGGACTTCCAGGCCATTCCCATTTTGTGCCACGGTGCCCAGCCCTTTTATGTGACCAACTCTATCTGCTCTGCACGTCTGCTAAGAAGAAGTTTATTTATTTATTTATTTTTACTTTTAATTTTTTATTAACATATAATGTATTATTAGCCCCAGGGGTACAGGTCTGTAAATCGCCACGTTTACACACTTCACAGCACTCACCATAGCACATACCCTCCCCAATGTCCATAACCCCACCGCCCTCTCCCGACCCCCTACCCACAGGCAAGCCTCAGTTTGTTTTGTGAGACTAAGATTCTCTTATGGTTTGTCTTCCTCCCGACCCCATCTTGTTTCATTTTTTCCTGCAAAGACGGACTTTAATAACTATTGTCCTCTTTGGGTGCTGGTTGCCTTGCGTACGGGTGTATCTACCTCAGCTTCTCTTAGATTATAACCTTACAATAGAATCTTTATTGGGCACCTGGGGGCCTCAATCGGTTGAGCATCTGCCTTCGGCTCAGGTCATGATCTCGGGGTCTGGGATCAAGCCCTGAGTCGGGCTCCCTGCTCAGCAGGGAGTCTGCTGCTCCCTCTTGCTCTCCTCTCTCCAATAAATAAATAAAATCATTTAAAAAAAAAAACATTATAAACTTGCCAGTAGGACTCCCCTCGACTTGTAGGTGCTTCTGTTGCAGGATTCTGCCTACGTGTGACAGGATACTGGCCTCCCTCAGTGACTTTGCTCTTTCCACAGTATTCCCAGGCCTCCACCGTGCTGTCTGTGGGCGGGATTCGGCAACAGTTCTCGGTGCCTGAGAACATCCAGCTCTCCCTCTTTTCAATTGATTTTCTGCGGAACATCAATGTACGTGCAAAGACATCCGGGGGTTGGGGTCGTGACCAGTCCTTTAGCCCAGAGAGAGGAGCCGCCCAGCTGGCCAGGGGAATCAGGGAGCACAAGCAGTTCGGGCAAGTAGGAGTTGGAATCTCTAGTTCTGTCCCCAGTGGGGTACCCAGAGGAGAAGGGCTTCTCTAAGTCTCAGGAGCTGTTGGTGAGGAAGCCAGGAGAGCCCTCCTTCCTTTCTTTAAATCAGCTCCTCCTAAAGAGTTTTTTTCTTTGCATATAGGAGTACCTAGCTGTGGTTGACGACCCTCCCCTGGACATCCAGTTCAACCCCTCAGGTTATCTCTTGCTGGCTTCAGAAAAGGGGGCCGCAGTCCTGGAGAGCAACGTGCGGGTGCAGAGGTGGGTGCCTGGCCTGGCCACCAGCTGCTCCTCAGCTGCGTACCTGGCACAGCTCCGACACCGAGTCAGGATATGGGGCGAGCGAGTTGTCAAGACAGGTCCCGACCATGTGGAAGCTCAGTCTGTCGGGTAACACATACGACACCTCTGGTACCCCGGGCTGTCACACAGATGTGGACGGCACGCTGCTGCGGTGGTTCCTAAATTTGCCACATCCTAAGAACCACCTGGAACATCCCACATCTGATAAGCCAGAACCTCTAGGAAGGGACCCAGGAACCTGCACACTTTTCCCAGAAGGGCCAGACGATCAACGTGTTAGGCTTTTGGAGTCCTGTTGTCTCTGTGGCTGTCACTGAACTCTGCATTTGAAACAAAAGCAGCCATAGGCAAAACATGGACAAAAATTGGAACAAACGAGTGTGGCTCACATACAAAAATGCAGGCGGCCAGCCGATGTGGGCAGCCCCTGGCCTGAGTGTCTCCTGGTCGGTCAAGAGTGTGTATGTTTAACAAGTAGACTTACAGGTCTCCCGAGGGACATGAGGTAATGTCCCAGATGCAGCATTTACTCATGTAGCCACCCCAAACATCCCCATTTTACATGTGAGTAAACTGAGGCAAACAGTGCCAGTCAGTGGTGGCATTGGGATTCGAACTAGGCAGCCTGGCTTGCGAGTGTGTTCTTTTAGGATCTGAGATGCTCTCTTTGGGGGACAGTGTCCCATAGGAGATCGTTGTGCAGGTGGACTGGACTGTACTAGAAAGTGGACAGGAAGGCCATTCCAGGCAGAAGGGGAGGGAACCAAGGGACCTGCTCTGTGGTGAAAGGCCACAGAATAGTTAGGGGATGGCAGGGGTTTTAGGGTGGCCAAGGGATACCAGGTTGTAGGAAGGGAAAGCGGGGTCAGGTGTCGAAGAGCCATGACTAGGAGGCTTGGTCTTGACACACTCAGCAAGAAGGAAAACTTGGGGGGTTTGGGGCAAAGAAGTGACCCAAATGAGGCAGGATCCCTACTTGTGGAGTTGGGGTCCCTGCTTCTCCCGCTCTGCACATCGCCCCTCTCACACACATGCACACGGCCGTGCATTTCTCTCAGGCAGGAAGGAGCCAAGGTCTGCCTGATGTCTCCTGAGCAGCTGCGGAACAAATTTCCCTGGATAAACCCAGAGGGCGTGGCGTTGGCGTCCTATGGTGAGGCCTGCTTGCAGAGGGGCTCGGGTCAAGGGGAGCCTCAGGTCGGGAGTCTCAGCTACATCGAGAAGCAGTGCTTCCCCCTGGCCAGCAGTCTCCCCGCCAGGCCATGCTAGCTCTCTGTCCTTCCACAGGATTTGCCTCTGGTGCCCTTGGGCAACTGACTTTCCCTGGCTTAGGAGCCCTAAAGAGGAGTCAGGGGCGTGGGCAATCCAGTAGGAGAGAAGGGTCCGAATCCTGTCTCCTGAGTCCTCTTGCTCATCACAGGGATGGAGCATGAAGGTTGGTTTGACCCCTGGTCTCTGCTCCAGGGGCTTCGGCGAAAGGTCCAGTCCATGGGGGTCCTCTTCTGCCAGGGAGAGGTGACACGTGAGTCTGAGATCCCATGCGTCTTACCTGGGTCAGCCAGGGCGCAGGCGTGGACGGGGTCTTACCTTCACTCACGGGCTAAGGAAGAGTTGGGGGGAAGGGGGGGTTCTTCCTGAGGGCTGGTCCTGGCTATCCTGACTCGGTCCTAACTCAGCTTCTCTGCTTGACTTACGATGTGCTTGAAGGTCTCAGCACGCTCCTGTCTTGTGTGCGGCCAAGTTCATTCTATTTACCCCATCTCTGTGGGGGAAAGCCCTGGCCTTCCAGCTTGCTTTCCTCCTGAAGCCCATGGAATCCCAATCTCGTCTTCTTCAGGCTTCAGTTCTTTTTTTTCTTTTTCCTGCAGGTTTTGTCTCTTCGTCTAGCCACGCAGAGACCCCAAGTGGGGAAGAGGTGACTTTGAAAAGGGTCCATGAAGTTCACGTAAGTTCCCAGCCTGTGCATCTCCCTTACCAAAGTGGGGGGATGAGAAAGGTAACAACTGTGGTCTGGATCATCTTCTGCCCACTTCTCGTCTGGGTAAACTGAGGCCCATGGTGCCTAGTGTGTGGGCCAGGCCCTCCCTCCCCTCCCGCTCTGCTGCCTGCAGGTGAAGATAGACCACAGCCTGGAGTACCAGCCTGTGGAGTGTGCCATCGTGATCAATGCGGCAGGGGCTTGGTCCGGCCAGATCGCGGAGCTGGCTGGTGTCGGGAAGGGACCACCTGGCACCCTGCAGGGCACCAAGCTACCTGTGGAGCCGCGGAAAAGGTGACGCCCCTTGGGGCAGCTGAGGAGGTTGGTGAGAGAGGGACAGAAGCAGTGTTTAAGAGTTTGTTAAATGCAGTGGGAAGGAGGGGGGCTGCTCTTCCCACCATCTCCTAACCCACTGGTCATGGCAGGTATGTGTACTTGTGGAACTGTCCCCAGGGGCCAGGCCTGGAGACTCCGTTCGTCATAGATGCCAGTGGAGCCTATTTCCGCCGGGAAGGATTAGGCAACAACTATCTGGGCGGCTGTAGCCCCACTGAGGTAAGCTAAGCAGGGCTGGAGTGCTGGGTGGGAGATGTAGGCCGACTGCTGTTAAAGAATCAAGCTTTGGGGCACCTGGGTGGCTCAGTCAGTTAAGCCTCTGCCTTCAGCTCCCGTCATGATCCCAGGGTCGTGAGATCGAGCCCCACACTGGCCTAGGGAGCCTGCTTCTCCCTCTCCCCATGCTCGTTCTTTCTGTCTCTCAAATAAATAATAAATAAAATCTTTTTAAAAAAAGAAGGGGCGCCTGGGTGGCTCAGTCATTGAGTGTCTGCCTTTGGCTCAGGTCACGATCCCAGGGTTCTGGGATCGAGCGGAGCCCCACATCAGGCTCCCTGCTCAGTGGGAAGCCTGCTTCTCCTTCTCCCACTCCCCCTGCTTGTGTTCCCTCTCTCGCTGTCTCTCTGTCAGATGAATAAATAAAATCTTTTAAAAGGAGAGAGAGAGAAAAGAAAAGAAAAGAAAAGAGAGAGTGTGAGTGAGTGAGTCAGGCTCTTTGGAGGGCCCAGCGGTGTTACTAATGCTCCAGCCCCTCTGGTTTTGAACTGGGATCTTTCCTCCCTGTTCCCTACCTACTGAGGGGATTGAGTAAAGGGAGGTCGGTGAGGTCTGGGTCCGCCCTTGTGTCCCAGGCTGTATAAGCCACGTCCCCACCTCTCGCCACAGGAGGAGGAACCGGACCCAGAGAACCTGGAAGTGGACCACGAGTTCTTCCAGGACAAGGTGTGGCCCCCTTTGGCCCAGAGGGTCCCGGCCTTTGAGTCTCTGAAGGTAACTAGGAGGCAGATGAGCCTGGAGCACCACAGTCCCCTTGGAAAGCCTGTCCGCTGCCACACGCCCCCCACCTCACCTGCTAAGGACTGGTGGTCTGGGGACCCATCCCACCGAGCCCTGAGCGGGAGTGAGGGCGGTGTGTGTTGGCACCTTCTTGGGAACCCCCACGTCCTGTCCGCCCGCAGGTTCGGAGTGCCTGGGCTGGCTATTACGACTACAACACCTTCGACCAGAACGGCGTGGTGGGTCCCCACCCTCTCGTCGTCAACATGTACTTTGCCACGGGCTTCAGTGGCCATGGGCTCCAGCAGGCCCCTGCTGTGGGGCGAGCTGTGGCAGAGATGGTGCTGCACGGCAACTTCCAGACGATCAACCTGAGCCCCTTCCTCTTCAACCGCTTTCACTTGGGAGAGAAGGTCCACGAGCACAACATCATCTGAGCCCATAAGCTCTTTGCTGGCCCAGCTGCCCCGTGCGCCACCCTTGGCTCATGTTCACCTCCTCCTCGCTGTGACTTCCTCCCCAGCCTCAAGCCAAGCTCTCCTCCACCCTCCTCTCCCCGCACTCTGCTCATCCTGTCCCACGGGGCTGGGCGGGCAGGTGGGCACACTGGAGGCTCTGGGAGGCACGTGCCTGAGGCCCAGGCCAACAAAATGATGGGATGAGACCCAGAACTGATCTCTGGCCCGGGCCAAGGCCACCCAACGAGGTAGATGGACAGAGCACCTGCGTGTGGGCCCCTGCACTGGCTTCTTCCTGGCACTGACCCGGAAACATGGCCTCTGCCTCTCTGGGCAGGCACGAGCCCAGGCAGGGAGCAGCACAGGGCAGCCTGGCCCGGGCTTAGTGATTGTTTACCCTATTCATCAATCAATAAATGCGATTCCTCTTTCCACCTGGGCTTCTGTCCCTTCTTTCACCTCCCAGCACTTGCTTGCCTTTGATACCAGACTGGGAGAAGCCCTGCCTTCTCCCAGGAACGTTCTTAAGTCCTGTGTGTAGGCAACTTGTTTGCAAAGGAATGTCATCTCTTGCTGAGTCCCTGCAGGGGTTCGGTTGTAGAGGGAAGGGAAGGTTTCGTGTGTTCACTGTATTCAGTTCCAGCTCTGGGCCTGGCCCAGGGCTACATGTTAGGGACATGCCAGCAGGCACATACCTGTAGGTCCTCACTGGAGAGTTCTTCCCTCTGCCCTGCCCCTCAGCCCACATCCGATGTAGTGTCGTCTCCGTAGTGCCGGGAATAAGCCCAGGTCGCGGAACCCCATCTCACCCGGTGTTTCTCCATGAAGCTTCCCAGGGAAGTTGACCTCTGGACTGAACCTATAAGACGAGAGCAGTTTAACAAAGTGAATGCACTGAGGGGAAGCCCGGGGAGTGAGAGCGAGGACGGGCTGATTCCAGGCTTCAGGAAAACCATAGATAAATGCCCAGGACCAAGGGTTAGTAAGATTCAAGGGGCAAGAAGGGATTTGTCCAGGCGAGATCATGGAGGGAGGGAAGGGAGGTAGAGTAAGAAGCGGGGCAGGGCCAGGAGCCAAAGAGCCATGCTGTGGAGCTTGGGGTGGATTCTATGGGCTTTCGATAGAGAAGCACGTGCTCCAACGTTCCTTTTAGAAAAGTCATCCGGACTGCCTTGTGTAGAATAGGCTATGATGTCAAAGCCAGGGGGGTGGGCAGATGGGAGGCTGTCGCTGCAGTCCCCAGGGCAGAGACGAAGGGACCTGCTCTGTCCTGGCAAGAAGCATGTGTATCGCAGAAGGGACAGTGGTCACAGGAAACGGGGTCAAATAAGACTCGGGTTTTTGGCTTGGGAAGCTAGATGTATGTCTTACCTTTCACGGAGGTGAGGACATCGGGGAGGAGCAGGGTGAGAGACAAGATAAATGGTACAGTCTGGGACATGTCGAGTCGAGGGTACGCCCAGGACTTCAGGTAGAACTGTCTAGCTGGGAGTTGAATGTACTGTTGGGCACCCAGGATGACCTAGGCTGTAGAGAGATGGACACCACGGAAGAGAATGGCATCCCTCCCCACAAGGGGAGAAGAGTAGGGGACCAAGGGGGAAGCGGGGGGACCCCAATGTCATTTGTAGAGCTGAACCAAAGGAGAGGAAGCTAAAGAGATGGCCAGAGAAACAAGAGAAGAGCCAGGAGCATGAGGTGTCACAGGAACCACGGAGTGGTCCACGATATTCATGCATGCTGCGGGCTGGATCGGTACCATGTAGATCAGTGGGGCCCCCAGGGAGAGCGGTCCTGGGAAGAAGTGTGCCTCAGTGGGCTCTGCAGGGACAGTTGTTCGGAAGGGAGACGTGAATGGGAGTAGGGACAGCTAGTAAAATGTTCATTTCCCCCTCAACAGCAGCCTTTGGGGAGAAGAAGGAAACGAAATATGGGCCTGACTAATGATCACTGTGTGAGGGAGGGCAGACAGGGGAAAGGGTCCGCAGGTGAGGTAACAGGAGAAGCCCCTGGGGTGGGGGTGGGGAAAAGCCAGGACTGATGAGGTGAGCAAAAAAGGAAGAACCATCCTGCTGAAAGACAGGAAGGAACTTGCCAGGGGCATGGGCTCAGGACAACTGAAGCCAAGGCCAACACCCCATCACGGTGGTTATCAGCCAGCTTCCTCAGGTGCCCAGTGTCCACTCAGCCTGCCCTCAGTAGCTACCCCCTCTGTGGGTCAGGAGGAAAATGGCCTTCAAGATGACAAACACAGTACTTACTCAATTAAGAATGCATTCATGAGGTCTCTGTGCTTCACAGGGCTTTCTTCAAACTCGTAGGAGAGCACTTAATCCTGCCATCTGTCTTCCCTCTCAGTCCAAAGCCTCCTTCATCTTTGCCCCAACACTGAGCTGTCGCCATGGGTGTCCCGGACCTGCTCTCAGCCAGGGCTTACCGGAGGGCCTGTGCCCTGCACTGGAGCTGGAGGGGGAGCCCTGGCTTCAGAGGCCTGGCAGTCTTATGGGAGGGCCAACCCCTGGGACGCCCAACTCCAAACAGCACGACGTGGTACAGGGCTGGTAATGAACAAGGCAGGAAGGGCAGGGTTAAGAATGCAGGAGAAAGGAGACTTCTGGAAGGGGCGGGCTTGAAGAGCACAGCTGGGAGTGGGAGGACCCGGTGGGTGGAGGGAAAAGCAGCCGTCCAGCACCCAGCCGGCCAAGCAGAGGTGTGTTTGATAAGGGGTGAAAGAAGCTCTTCCTGTACTTCCTACTTCATCTCACCTACTCCTCCCCGCAACACTGGGAACCAGATACTATAACCTCACGATGAGTAAAGTGAACCTAGACAGGCCACATATGTCCGTCCCCAAGGTCAGACGGCTAGTAAGTGAAGAGCTCTGGGTGTGAGCCCCAGCGATCCTGCTCCAGAGCCCTCCTGTACAGCCCGAGCCCAGGCTGCCTCCCAGGATTAGCCACTAACTCGCCCTGCTGGCTGGTGAGAAACATAGGAAATCAGATTGAAAGGGAGACCATGGGTCTTCCATCCGTCCCATTAAACCAGCCGCATCGTCCAGCATTCTGGGCACACGGCTGTAGGAACGTTTCCCAAACTGGCAGTCCACGGAACACCCCCTCAGGAAGATACTGGTATTTCTACTACGGTGAAACAAGTTTGGGAAAGGCTACGTGTTGTATCCCCTCCATCCCTCAGCCGTCCTGGTCCTTCAGGAAAGCTCATCCTCAAGCCGGCAGGCGAGCGGCTGGCTCCGCTCGTTTTTGCAGCCTGCGAGCGTGGGGTTCGGCGTCGGCTTCAGCTGTGCGACCCCCTCACCCGCGCTTCTGCGGTGAGAGTCACGCTACCACCTACTTTGTGGTAGCCCTTCAATCTCCACTTTTCTTTTTTTTTTTTTTTTTTTTTTTTTGGAGGGAGAGAGTGCGCGCGTGGGGTAGGAGTAGAGGGAGAGGGAAAGAAAGACTCTTGAGCAGGCTCCGCGCGGAGCAGAGCCGCACCCACGGTCGATCTCGGGAACCCCACATCAGGACCTGAGCGGAATCAAGAGTGCGCGACTTAACCGACCGAACCACCCAGGCGTCCCCTCCACTTTTCGTAACTGTAGGGGGAAAAAAAAAAAAAAGTACAGCGGCTGGCCTTGCAGGGCGTTAAGAAAATTAAATGAATGGAGCAAGGGTTTCTATCCTTCTCCCCCACACAGAACAAAGCCGAGGCTTCAGGCTGTCCGGGTGCGTTTTGGGGTACGCGGGAGCACGGACTCTTCTGCAAGTTTCTGCGGGGTTGCGGGCTTCGGGGTTTTCCGAGCCCCGTGGGCTGGGCGGCGAGGAGCACCGGGGAGGCGCGGCTCCCGGGCGGAGCGACCCAGCGGCCGGCGGCGGGAGGGCCCTGCAGGTCCAGGGCGCGGGCCAGGGAGGGGCCGCGGGCCAGGCCGCCCTGCCGCTTCCGGGGGAACCGGGGAGCCGGGAGGCGGTCTGCCCGGGCCTGCGCGCCGCACTTCCCCCTCGCCGGGGGCGGCCGGCACAGCGCGGGAGCCCGAGCCAGACCCGCGGCCCGCACCGCGCCGGGGTCGCCGCCACCCACGCGCAGGTGAGCCCTCTGCGGGGGCGGGGGCGGGGGCGGGGTCCTGGCGCTGGAGCTGGGCGTGCGGGCCGGGGGCGGGGTCCCCGCGGGGGCGGGGTCCCCGGGAAGTGCGGGGCCCCTGCGCCCCTGCGCCCCTGCGCCCCTGCACCCCTGCGCCCCCTTCCGGACTGGCCGCATCCCCGCGGCACGTCTGCCCGGGGGCCCGCCTTCCCCTCTCCTGCCCCCTCCACCTGGGTGCCACAGGCACCCTGAACGCGGAAATGGGTGTACAGGCTTTCCAAGAAAGTCCCTTTCTCCGTCGCGAAGGAGCTAGCGCAGGGAACCCCCTTCCGTGTGGGCTGAAGAGCCCAGCCGGGTCGGGTGGTTTCCATCTTTCACTGCAGTGTTTCTGCCACGGTCTCCTCACGTCCTTCTTTGCTCTTCCGATGGCCTTTGCGACTGTTCCAGCACGAACACGGCTTTAGTTAGGGGTCATGACCCACGGAGGCATTTCTTTCACAACGTCTGTCTTGGGCAGGGCAACCTGTGCAGCGCGGAGTGACAGCATGGGACAGGAAGGGGTCAGCCCTGTCCTTCCCCTGCAGACGGACAGATTAGAAATCCCAACACAAACCTGGTCAGTGCCACTGAGAGAGGGACAGTCCCGAGTACTCGCGTAGCTGAGACACCAAAGCAGAGGGCACCCAGGGCCAGGAGTGACGGTCGGAGAAAGTCACATCTAGTTATTCTTTATTTTAACTTTTAAGACACTATTGAAATACGACCTGCATACAGGGGCGCCTGGGTGGCTCCGAGGGTTAAGGCCTCTGCCTTCGGCTCAGGTCATGATCCCAGGGTCCTGGGATAGAGCCCCGCATCGGGCTCTCTGCTCAGCGGGGAGCCTGCTCCCCCACTCTCCATCACTGCCTGCCTCTCTGCCTCTCTCTCTGTCAAATAAATAAATAAAATCTTAAAAAAAATTAATATGGCCTGCATACAGAGAATTGCACAGTCACAAGTGTACAGCTAACCTAGTTTTCACACAGTGAACATTTCCTAGGCAACCTGCATCCAGAATAAATAAAATCTCACTAGCACTCCGGAAGCCCTCTATGTCCACTTCCGAGGACTACTTTCGTCTAAGGGGGAACTATTATCCTGGCTTCTCACATCATAAAACGTTTCCTTGG